TTTGGCTGGGAATGAAGGTTTCTGGATTATCGTGGCTGAGGGTCCAGTGTATCCTAATTAACTTCATGTTGTTGCCAACCAGATAACCAGCTCGGACTAACCGATCTGTAACCGGATAAACAGGCCTTCGGTGTTGAATTCCATTGTAGGATGACAAAAATATTGTACTGTATACTGTACCCTTATGCTGATCCATCTAACAGGCAATTTGTACAACACACTAAGACACATCAGACTAGTAATCAATTTCATATAGGTTTCCACCTAAAAATGTCAGCAAGTGTTAGATACATACAGTCAAAGTTAACTTACCTGTTATTCACATAGTTCTTATACACATGATGCTTTATTGTACAAGTCTCACTCATATGTTTTGACAGATAGAGTAACCAAGGAGTAAAACGAGCATTTGTGTCATGTCTTTGTTTAATTTTCAGTCAAGTGATATGAAAATATTCACATTGTTGTGATACGTAATATTTTCTTGACTGTTACAATATACATGAAAAAGAAAGAAGGTGCAGAGATCAGTCTACCATTTATGTTAATGAGTTATTTTAACGTCAACTTTTTTTGTTTAAAACAGTGGATCCCACAATATAAAATTACATTATTTCCTGAAATTCTTTTATCCCATAAAAATTCTATGAGTTCAGGACGTGTGAATGCATACTGTCATCAAGATGAGTCGTTGATACAGAGATTTTAACAGTGGAGAGTGGCTTTTGCAGTGCAGGACACTTGATGGCAGTTATCAGATAGTTGAAATGCCTACCATATCACACAGTCAAGAGGTACTAACCACTGACTGGATATCCAGTTCCGTGTTCTGGTGTTACTACACATACTTCTCTTTGTGAAGATTTTTCCTTTCCTTTTGCTCATAAAGCTGTTTTGGTATTCATCTACCCTTACAGACAATATATTTATGTATATATACAGGATATATATATTTGAATATCATACATTGATATTGATGGCTGTAAGCTACTAAATGATATTGATAGTAACAGTGGGTTATGAAGATAGACTTGTGCATGATTCTGTCAAATATCAAGATACATTATGTAGTCTGACCACCTGAGCATGTGGAAGATCACAGGGATGACCAGACTCAATCAATACAAAAAGAAACTTATAGTCAGGAAGTTTGGGATCTGTATATGTTCTCATCAGCTTTTGTATAAAATCACTGTTACCACATATGCAGTCTCAATACTGAGATCCTGTCTTAGAATAGGTACATAGTTGTTCCTGGTCTGCTGTCCTTTACTAGATTTATTTACCACTTTACAACAGATACTTTTTAATTATTTCAGCGTTATATATATGTAACTAGACATCTGGGAATGTTCTAATTTCATACTCAAGGACATGTCACTGATTTTAGAAATTGTTTGTATGCAATCTGGCAGATTCATATTCCTTTGGGGATTTTGATCAAGCTTAACATGATACATTTGCCTATTTTCTGCCGTCATTATTGCACATCACTTGTTGATTCGCAAAGGTGATTTGCATTGCTTGAAATGAATTGTGTTATGTCTTGTGATTTTTTAATCTGGAATAATAGAAAAACTAAAAGGATGCTTTGAAGGTTAATGAAAACAAGGAATGTGAAAATTTAAGTCAGTAATTTATTAGAAATCAACAAATTAAGTAGTTATTATTTCACTTTCATTTACAATACAAATGCATTGATCTATACACAATTGAAGTTTAACTATGAAATCTGCTGGAAGGTATAAAAGTAAACCTAATTCAGTAGATAAAAAAAATCTAATTTTGACATATTAACTATACGTAATGAGTCAAATGTTGTACACACTGGCAGGTAGCATGCCACTAGACGGACAATCCTGAAAGCATCTTAAGTTTTCAAGGAAAACCACTCCGGATTCATGTTGCTCAATATGTTGTGTATTAAATTTTGTATCGGATATTAGATATAGTTTTATGTACACACATTGTGTATACATTTGCTTGAATGTCATCCAAGCTTCCAGATATAATTAGTACCGTATCGTTATTTTCTCTTCCTTTCCCATTAACCTTTTTTTTCCTTGGCAAAACCTAGAGATACCCTTGTGACCTTGACATGAGATGATGTTAAGGTCGTATAAAAACAAGCAATACTTAATAATAGTTAGAACATTAGATCAATAAAAAGTAATCATTTTACATGGATTTATATATCGGTCAGCGATATTGATTTCAAGAAAGGAAAATTATTTCATATAACCATGGATACTATATACACTTGATCGACATCTCAAAATAGCATTGAAATGTGGTTTGAACTCTTTGTTTTGTGACTGGGTATATGTGTCCTGGAAGTAGTCTAGGTAAAGTGATCACAATACAGTATTTACCTGTGATCACCTCCATGCTGATATATCATTGTATTATGTCTAATACAAAATTGAAATAAAAACATACACATTACACATCTGTCTTACATAAACCTCTCTACTGTGACCATGTACCTGTGAAGATACATTTCCTTCACACAGCTAAGTACACTTTCAAAAGTATCATTGTATTATGTCTAATACAAAATTGAAATAAAAACATACACATTACACATCTGTCTTACATAAATCTCTCTACTGTGACCATGTAGGCCAGAATGTCCTGAAGTATACATTTCCTTCACACAGCTAAGTACACTTTCAAAAGTTTCTCCATAAAAAAAGTACTGGAATCAGTCACAGAATCTTTGACCTATTCTTCTGCAGTGAAATTAACATTTTTAGGTGATTCTTGATATACTCGTGTTGTTGCCCCCGAATTCAAATCCGACTAATAAGCTGATGAGTTACAGCATACTCTACTCTGTCTACTGAGACTGGCTACCAGTCCCTAAGTTTTTGTCTCCCCTTAGTTTGATACTACAATCAGACATCCATCCAAGAAACCAAAATTACGAAGCTCAATTTCATTTATAATTCATATTTAAGAGAGGGAGATGGGGACAGTCTGACAGTGGTTCTACTTTTGACCAGACCTTTCTTGTATAAATGAAAGGCAATATTAATTCACATACTGCATTGGCACATTATGTTGTATATTAATCCAATACACCAGTATATGCATATTGATCAGTACTGGATGTTACCCACATATATCAGTAGGTGTACTAAATGTATCATTATATGAATTACACATTAATAATTTTATTGGTTAACTGGATTGTTGGTTCATGTCAGGCATAGATAATATCAAATTAATTAAGACTTGAGTATATGCACCATGGCCAGTGTACAGTTCTTTTTTGGGTCATGTTGAAAAATTCCAACCTAACAAATTATAAATTTTTTGTGCAGCAAAATGATAAAATTAGGGGTCAATAGGGGCATCGATGCTTAATATTTGTCCTTACATAATGTTTGGTTACTTCATCAGAAAATTTTAACAACACACATGTACAAAATTGGGAATGCAGGAATTCAACGCTGCAGATGCATGCGTATACCTGAATATTAACCAGCAAGTTGTTGTGCTTAGTTAGTCAATGTTGTATTTGACACTGAATATTTTCATAAATATAAAAAACAGGACATTGACAATTGATATCCAGGTGTTGAGTTGGAGTTGGACTGGTAAAGATAGGGACAATCTTTCAACAAACAAGCTTCCTGCTATAGGAGGACTTAGCACTAAACCTACCTAGGGGGTTTACATGTCAGATCTAATCTACATATTAGCCTCGTTGTTATTCAGTAGATAGCATATTTGTGTGAACACTTTTCCTTACCCACAATGTCATTTTCTGTTTATTTTCTGTGAAAAGTTCACCCTAAGTTTGAATATGTACATGTGTTATATCAATTTCAATATAATTATCTGAGCCCAAAATTAAATTCATGGCAGAATTTATAAAATGCAACCATTATTTTGCATTTGCAAGTGATATGAAATTCACTTGGTGAAAAAATGAAACAATTTTTACTGTACCTATCACAAGACCAATGAAATATTCAGAGTCAGAAATAGTTGTATAGGATGTGATTACGTGTCTCGCTAGAAATGTAAAAATCAAAACTTTCACTTGTGTTACATATTGATTGTAATACACTACAATATTTATTCCATACTGTTGATTATTGTCACATATGAGATACAGTAAAATTGAAATTTTGCTTATCTTTAAATTGTATTTTGTTCATCCACACATCAAAATAAAAGTCACAGGTTATGTTGCATATCGTGTGTGAAGTACAATGACCATTTAACCAGCTGCAGTCTGTTACATTGTATATACCTGTATAGTGATAACATATCTGGCAGTCTTCCACAAAGACCTGTGCTGTTGAAAATCATTTCTACACATAATAAAACCAGGAATTTTTATGTACTTTGACAACTGCAACTGAATAATGATAAAATATGCAGGCCTGTTTTGCAATTTGTCACGTACTTGATCATTCACATTTAATTTTGTTAAATCATGGAACGTTACTGTAAAATATATATGATTTTATTTGACTGTTTAAAGTACATTGGTAACAAATTATGTTTATAATTATTTTTCATAGACTCAAATAATTGTACAAATTTCCTGAAGTCTAGAATGGACTTAATTTTAGTGACATTTGTATGTGCTAAAAGAATGTAAAGTCCCAGTTATACAGAGACAAATACTTGAAGCTGAGTTTGGGATTACATGCCATAGTACCAGTATAGATGGTGGGATGCATATGTGATTCAATGGTAACAGGCAGGTCCAATTAATGACCATTAGAAAAGAGGAAGTTCCATTAATGTCGCAAGAATTCGGAAATGGCTACAACTAGCTCTATACATGGATATGTGATGGCACAGCCAAAAATGTTTTACTTTATATTGATTGAATTGAAGCAGTTCTCTAAGAATGCCTAAATGAAAGAATTGCTGGAATAGTAATGCACTTTGAGGATTTTTTTGGTGGTTATCAAGACCTTAACACATTTTACAGTATAAATTCTGTATCTGACGCAGTGTTTGCCTTTGCCTTACAGATATCCTTATGTGCTAGATCATTATGGGAGAAGCAGCATCGGCAGCAGCAGGACAAGCTCAGTTTTCTCAACTTCAAGTCACAGGTATGTTTAATCAAAAACCCTTCTAACATCAGTGTTTTGTGATTCTTTTAAAGTAAGAAAGATAAATAGCAAAACTGATCATATTGAAAAGTGCCCAGAAACAATCTCTCTCATTTTGATGCTTATGTCTTGTCCTGTCGGGAACAATAATTGCCATCACTTTTGACACTTTATTATACTCCCCACTTAGGTAAGGAGGGGCTTTATATTTAGTTATCACTTCGAGCGGTCATGCCATCAGAGGGCGAGTTCTGTGATAATGTTGAGTATAAGATATGTCATGAAACCATGCACAGATTTAGTTTATTTTCACACCATAGCATCATACCAGCAAAGCCTACCTCTGATTATATTTTGGTGGTCATTGACCAAAGTTAAAGGTCAGAGATCATCCATGACCTTTTTTGGAAGTGAAAATCTTTGAATAATTTGGTAGCATCATTTCACCAAGGTCTACACCTGGTTAAGATTTTAGTGATTTCCAAATACTTGGGATGTAGGTTCACCCAGGTGATACGATGTGTCATGTAACAAAAGTAAGTCAGTTTCGAAAAAACAACAAAGAAGAAGATTGTCCAGGCCCTGTCTCCTACACTACTAATCATGGAAACTTCATATTTGAGATAGTGAGACAGGATGTTGGTATGAAAAGTAGGTCACTCCGACCTACAACATTGTGACCTTTGAACTACATAAGAGGAAAAAGGTTGTCAGGGCTCTATCTCTTACACTGCTAATAACTTGAAAACATACTTTTGGTATACACTGAATGGTCTTGTTTCTAAAGAAATTTCAGACATGCTGTTTCAAGAATCAACTATTTGAATACCTTTGATAAAGTTATGTTTCAGGGTAAGCTCAAGATCATTATAGAGTATGTAAAATGATATAACATTGATATTTATTTACAATGGAGCAAGGGCAGTAATGGACCTGTTAACAATCAGAGGCCAAATATTTACTTTGGTAACAGCATTTATATCCAGTGAGTTTTGGATTGTGATGAAAAGTAGATTCAAACATTAAGGAAAGTAAAATAAAAAAGAAACATTGTCAATCAATTTTACAGTCAAGATTTATAAAAAGTATCATAAAAAGATAGTAATTTTGTGTGTTGAGTGATATGGTTTACAGCATTGGTGTACATGTAGTCTTCCTCTAAATGATAATCTATGGCTTTATTTAATTTGTGTTAATAACTTGATACCGTTTCAATTAGTTGTGAAAACAGACAAAATTTATGCCATTGTGTAAATTGAGATTATTAGACAACCCATCAACAGCACCACATAGATAAATTGTAAGCCTGCATCATATTGCCATGGCAAGTTGTTCACTACTGAAAATTGAAACAAATGCTGGTATTGATTTATTTATTGCATTTAAATTATAAATTTTACCTGCTGTGGAAAATCAGAATTGTAATCAGAGCAAAGCTCTTCAAAGTGTAGAGTTCAAGAACTTAAGTCATCAACTGGACAAAGTTACCTCCCTTTCCATGTGTTTCCCCATCTCTGGATGGTCCAAAAAATGTGGAAGTGGTACTCAAGTAGAGATAAAACCCAGCTCATCCAGCTCTTGAAAATTTCGCAGAGATAATGCATCAGGATGAACCAGATAAATATTAGAATTACCTCCCTTATATGAATGTACCGCAAACATAACCTGTGTTATGTATATGGAATTTAATGTTTTAACTATGTAAGTATTCTGGTACTAGAAAATCAACTTTGCATAGAAGCTTGTAAATAGAACTACACATCAACAGCATAACAACTGTATAATTTTCTTAATCTTACACTCCCGTTGAATATTTCAATGAAATAACACCGAAAAACTAACCATTATTACTAGAACACACACTTACCTCATACCCAACAGAAAAGCTTAAACCAACCACTATAACTGGTACCTACACTTACCTTATTCACAACAGAAAACCTTAAACCAACCACTATAACTGGTACCTACACTTACCTCATTCCCATCAGAACACCTGTAACCAACCACTATAACTGGTACCCACACTTATCTCATTCCCACTAGAACACCTGTAACCAACCACCTTAACTGATACCTACACTTACCTCATTCCCATCAGAACACCTGTAACCAACCACTATAACTGGTACCCACACTTACCTCATTCCCATCAGAACACCTGTAACCAGCCACTGTAACTGGTACCCACACTTACCTTATTCCCAACAGAACACCTATTACCATCCATTATACTGATGCCTCCACTTGCTACATTCCCACAAAAACATCTGTTTTTTTACCAAACAACCTTTACAATTTCTTTAAAATAAACCAGTTGAAATGGTCTAGACGATATGGAAATATTCCATAACAAACAAACACCTGAAAATTTAAAGTTCAAATCTTTTCTGTTTGACACCAAAGAAATTGGAAATAAAATGTACTCATTTTGCAGTCAGTTTGAAAATGATAAAAGTCCCAGATATATTGGGATATAGAATTATGAAAACTTCAATTGTACATGCCAAATCTGATGCTGCATTCTGCATTCAAGCCTCAGTTCTGATCAGACTTTGGCATTATTCTTGCAGGGTCAACCATTGAAACAAGTTGAAAGTGGCTTTGTACTAAATCCACCTCATTTCCACTGGAGCATTATATAGCTACAGCCAACTTTGATTACGTACCAAAACCTGCACCTCACTCCCACTAGAACACCTATTGCCTTTCTGACTTTCCAATATTGTCTAGTTGTGGTAACCAAGGTCATTAAATTATTTGTAAATAAATAAACTCCCAAGACGAGCCAGTCTGCTATACTAAACACATGATGTTGATTAGGTAGGAAATCTGCTGGACTGAAATATAGCCTTACTATTTGTAGTGACCTGGCAGCACATGTGTCGTATATGGATTTAAGTTACCCTAAAAAAGAAATCAGCAGAACACATTTCTATTTTAGGAATTATTTCAGGCCTTTTAGCAGATTAAGAGTGCTTTAGGCATTAGTTATTTATTTACAAAATGCACAGATCTTTTGGAATGACCTTGGGAATGTTGTGAAATTTGCCTTTATTCTGTATCTCAAAAGTTGTTTATATTGTTATCGGAGGGTTTCACTATAGGAATCGTGCAAACAAAGATAGATTGATGTTTGCTCTCAGGGATTAAGTAATAATATGGTACATTAATTGGTTTTATGGAAATGCTTGAAGCAAAGTTACTCTGCCAGAAGGAAATGAAGGTGACTTAATGCTTTTTACACACACAAATGTCAGTATTTTCAGAAGCATGAAATGAATTTCTCTTTAGCTGAATCAGAGTTTAGTAGTTCTGGTTTTAATCTTGTATTGGAAACACTTTTAAAACTAATTTATATTAGTACTGATATAGGTTTAGTGGGCCTGGGTACATCTGTATTGTACTTTTCATGGATTTTCTCCGACTTGCTCAATAGAGATCTGCTAGAATTGAATAGTGAACCTTCATATTCATCACTCAGCTTTAAGCCAAGAGGCCAACTTGTAATGGCTGACTCAATTTTTGGGTGGGCTGATATTGCCAAATAATGAAATTGCAATTTCAATAGATAAAAGTATGTTTACTACCAGCTTCAGGTTTATTGACAGATTGCTTCTTATTACTGACTCGACCTCTGGGAATTTAACTTCAGCTCATCTGATAAATCAATTGTCTCCTTCAGCAAATGACAGATATATTTTACTTCTGAGAACAAATGTTACTTCTATATTTAGTGTACAAGTGATATTTTTTTATCAGCCGTGGTATGTATTGGTACCAGGAGATTAGAAAAATTGCTCCGGTTACATATCTCTTGTAAAAAGGTGAAAGGCCAATTCCTAATTGTGTTGTATTGCGACGGCTAAATGCAGTATGGACCTCACACAAAATCAATAGCTGTTGGCTGTTAAAACAAATAGGAAAAAGAAGTTAAATATTTATTTCATTTGTATGAATAGCAAGGAAAAGGAATGGGGATAGGAAACTGACATTCTTTTATTCAATTTAAAGTTCGGTCATTTAGTGCAATTCAATTGTAGGCCATGGCCTACGTACATGTATATATTTGTAGTCCCCTCTACTTAAATGAAGGCTTGAATTTGTAAAATGATGTTAATCAACCTATGTAATGCTTTGACAATTTGTGTTTTATTTCTTGATACCAAAACCTTTGCTTTAAACTGCTTTCCAGGCAGATTTCAAGGTTTTATCATTTACTGGTACTAGAATTAGGGGGGAAAAACATCAATACAAGAATAATTTGTACTTAAGTTTAGACAAACCTGGATTCCCAGAACATAACAGGATAAAATTCTCAAAATTAGGTCACTGATCCTATAAATAGAACATCTGTCTATATCATGTTACTTTGGTTACAAAGAATAACTTGTATCTTGGTGTATTCATGATGATGAATGTGAAGCAATGTATTGTAAGCATCTCCAGCAGTCAGACATGATGAAGTAGAGATTTAATTAGTGGTAGTCTTTCAGAAATATTACATATGTTAGTATCTAGATCTCATTTGTCAAGTTCCCAGTTTAATGATTAGTGACAGCAAAATAGCAATTAAAGAAAAGTTGTAGAGAAATATTGACCAAATTTACATCTTACTATGCATATATCAATTCTTAAAGTGTCCCATATATTGCTAAGCATTATATACAGATTTACATGCGAGGTTATACATAACTCACTTTGACTTCAAGAGGCTCTGTATCTGCCAATCAGCTGACAGTTCAGGTTCTTCATAACAAGTAACATGACATAATTACATTATGAAAATATTTGCCTCTTTTTATTTCCAGTACAATCAGCTAAGATAACTGCAAGCAGTGGTCTGCTCTCCTCAAAACCAGACACATTTGCAGAAGTAAGTGTTGACGGACAACCACCAAGGAAAACCGATGTCGCGAAGAAAACTTCTACTCCGAAATGGGAAGAGGACTTCACATTGTAAGCTCTAAATCAGTGATTTTAAGTTGGGTCTAAATGTAGCTCATTCTGAAATTTTATCAAGTAACTTCCGTAATTTAGTGTAGGTAACTGTTAAAAGGTTAAAAATCTGAACAATTAAGAGGTTGAAGTTGTGAAATGGTTTCCTATATTATATTGAATTTATTGAATTTTATTCAATCAATAGTGAAAAAGAACTCTAAAAACAGAGCATTTATTGTAATCATAATACGGTTGGTTGAAGATATTTAGCACAATGTGAAGTAGTTGAACATAGATTGATATATAGATTTGTCAGTCACTGACCCATTGTGGCATTTGTCAGACAGTGACCAATCTGAATGCTGTCAAAGGTCCTGTGTATATATGTCACTGACTAATTAGCTCCTTGAATATTTAATGAAACGATGGGTTTCAATCTCCAGAGGCTGCTCGATAACCTTATGTTAACTATTATGTCTAGGAGGCCTTGTGTCTATTATTTTAGGCAGACAGATAAATACATGTACAGCATTTCAGTGAGGTTAAATCACTCGTGTGTCTTACTTTTTTGCCATGTACAGGATTTTTTGTAATCTCTCCGATTTCAGAAAAATAACTGTATTATTTGCATATTGCATTTTCTTTCTGATGTTGGTTTTTTGCAGATTGGTCACCCCATATTCAAAGATAGAGATAAAGGTGTTCAGTCAGAACACGATACGTGCGCCCACTCTAATAGGATCTAATACTATAGAGCTACATGCCATTCTGTTAGAGAACCATGGCAAATGTAAGTTGTCCTTGGGCCAAGCACATCTAGTGCATTTTGACATTTATTGATGCTGATGTTTTTGCCATTGTTTTACTGAACAAAATTTTAACCTATAGTTTCTGTTCAGTAAATATTGATCTGCTTCAAAAAATGTAAATATAACACTTGAACTATTTCTGTACTCACAGAAAAGTACTCCTGTATCTTTTGAAGTTAGTGGATGTTCGGTAAACATGGCTTGTACCCTTTGTGATGCTTGTACATATCATGAAACATAGGTGTCATTTGCAGACAAAATAAGTATATAATAACATGATTTAAAAATTGGATTCTGATATAGTTAATTTCGTGTCACAAGCATATTTATTTTTAACATAGTCAAATAATCGGAATTCGTCTGGTTTATGTCAGATTGTTTCTGCTACATGCCATGTCCTCTGGAATGCATCATGCACAAAGGACAAACTTTGCAAATGCTTGTAGTAGTGACCATAAACAAATTATGTATAGAAGTAGTTATGACGTTGTACTGTAGACATGGTTTAGCAGTAGTCTTATTGCAGTGATTTTTTATGTTGAAAGTATCATGCTAGAAAATGATTGTACTAATTGCAACTGAATGATGATTATGGAACAATCAAAATTGTATGCTAATTTTTCATTGCACTTCTTTACTAAAGTGATAGCGCATTAAAATTTGATTGCAAGATAATTAATATATGTACAGTATCATGTGTGAAGTAATCAGTTGAGAGCATACACTGTAAGGCATTGTCAGAGTAGTATGAAGTCAAAGACAAAAGTAAGGATGGTACAAAGTGCTCATTAGAAATCAGCGAAGTCAAAGACAAATGTAAATATGGTACAAAGTGCTCATTAGAAATCAGCAAAGTCAGAGACAAATGTAAGGATGGTACAAAGTGCTCATTAGAAATCAGCAAAGTCAAAGACAAATGTAAGGATGGTACAAAGTACTCATTAGAAATCAGCAAAGTCAAAGACAAATGTAAGGATGGTACAAAGTACTCATTAGAAATCAGCAAAGTCAAAGACAAATGTAAGGATGGTACAAAGTACTCATTAGAAATCAGCAAAGTCGAAGACAAAAGTAAGGATGGTACAAAGTGCTCAATAGAAATCAGCGAAGTCAAAGACACCTGTAAGGATGGTACAAAGTGCTCATTAGAAATCAGCGAAGTCAAAGACAAAAGTAAGGATGGTACAAAGTGCTCATTAGAAATCAGCGAAGTCAAAGACAAAAGTAAGGATGGTACAAAGTGCTCATTAGAAATCAGCTTGCTCTGATGATAACTTGTCAAGCAGACCAAAATATGTAGTCATTTGTACATGGGATGATACATTTGTTCATTTTTATCTTTCAGTGAATCATACGGGCAAAGCGTTTGAAGTAAGCATTGAAGGTAAAGGTAAAACTGGTGAGGTACATGTGGAATTTCATGGGATGGAAGTTAATATGACACGGTTTCCACGTCGGAATATCAGTAGAAACTCGCAGGCACAGGCTAATGGTAAGTCCAACAGGGGACTGTCATTCTAACAAGTATAAAATTAGATTTAACTTTCTAGTTTTGATGATAAATTCATTGTTTGAATCTACTTGTGAAGATAGTTTTGGTTAGAAAGATGGAGTTCAGATGCCACATAGATTCTCTAAGATCACACTGGGGCATCAGGACAAAAGCAATCACAAGAGATATTGACACACTTTCCTGTAGTTGTCTCCCTATGATTTGAACTCTACTAAGAGTTCTAGAATGTAATGAATATTGGTTTCAGTGATTGAAAGTGCCAATCAATGCATGCTTTATCACAAAAAATATACAAAAAAAATTATTTAAATGTTTTCATATGAATAGATTTGATAACATAATAGTTTTGCTAACCATCAAAATTCTGAAGTCATTTTCATAATAGAAGATGAAATAAGTCAACCCTTTGTAATTTGTGATATTCACAACATTGGTTTGTTTGATCTGTATATATAGAGTTGTATCATTCATTTCACTTTGTTGCTGTTGTTTGTTTCATTTCACAGGGCAGGTCCCAAGTAGCAACACTGGTAACAGTACCCACGGTAACAGCCGCAACCGCACCCGTAACTCTCGTGGCCCTGCCCCTCCTGTTCCCCCGCCCCCCAACCGCTCGCAGGGCTCCCATCCCCAGGGAGCTGGCTCCCCTGCAGCCAGTGCTGCTAGTAAGATTCACACAAATCATCCTCTATATGTTCTTTCTCTACTTAAGTATCAGCAAATCTTGACAAGTCTTGTAAATATTGTTAAAGTTTTGAAATTCAGTCTTCATTAGACATTTGGCCATTTTCTGCCATTTTTAAGTTACTGTAAACACAAGTATAAAATCATTTTACAATAACTACGTACTGGGGTGTATTGTACAGTTTTGTACATTGTATGAACTGTTTATCAAAGACAAATGTTGATCGTAGTCACAAACATTTTGGATACCTACCAAGAATTTGCTGATTCTCAAGTTTAACTGCTGTTTAGACATGTGCCTTTACCTCTTGAACTAATCTGATGATAAAAAGCCTAGTAACAATATCTGGTGTGTAACTAGCATGCTAGCCTCCCACTAACCAATATTAACTGTTTTTTGAGTCCAGTTGAGCAGCAAAATTTGCAATTCACATCAATTAGAAAGCCAGTAAGAGTAACATTTATGAACAAAAGAATTGTCAGTTGGCTTCTCCGGTTTAGTTCAGTTGGAACAATTGGATCCAGCATGTGTATAATGAAGTATTCTTTTCTGTGTTCTGTCATGAAGTCATGCTGAAGGCATGGCCATGAATTATAATGACTTATATTTCGTGCTCTTATCAGATGCTGGATTAATGGTGGCTTGAAGATTTAGGTCCATTTGCAATGATATGCAAATTTTCAATGTTTAACTAAATGCTTATAGTACAAGTAGATTTAGAAATTTGTAAACAGTAAGGGGAAATATATTATACATGAACTCTTTGATTTACTGAACATAATGATTTATTGAGACATTTGTTGGACAACATGGGAGATTTCATATATATAATAATTTTGCCATTTGTGTAACAAAAAAGGACTTCAGATGAGGAATCTGAGATTGATGTAAAAAAAATTGACTTTTGAAGAAATCCAGAGGCACCAGATTGAAAAAATTACGAAACAAAGATCCTGACCATTGAAACTACGAGCAATGAAATAACTTTCTTCAGATGTATTCAAGAGGGAGTCAACCGAAATGAAGATGTAGACATTTTACCACAACAGATCTAGTTATTTGCACTGATGGAGGAATTCGCAGAAAGACAGTTGTGCCTTATGGAGAAATTCATTACACTTGAGAAATTGTACCCAATGGAGATTTACTATAATTTTATATGTACTCATTTTTACATTGATACCAAATGAAGGCATGTATTTTACATTTGGACATCTCATAAGGACTTTCAAAATAGTTTACTTGCAGTGTTGATTTTGTTCATAATGATGATTTGATTGAGGAGTATATGTGTAGATTTAGACATGTAACATTTTGTACCTAATGGAGGGGATTTGTTGTTGTAGATCCCAATAGAAGAACAGGTATAGGTACAACCTCACCTCCAAGCTATGCCTCAGGTAACATTTGCTGCTTTTTCATATCACTTCATGTACAATTTGCCACCAAATTTCAGTCATAAATGCATGTTTGGATTCCAAATGTTCTAGCTTTACTAGGGATGCATGATCTTAGTCAGCTGGCATTCTGCTGGATTATGTTTGGCTTTTTTTTAACTACAGTCAAAAAAAAAAAAAAAAAAATTTACTGTAATTTCTTATCAATGTCCAGTACTGTCTTCATAATTTGCTTCTTTATATAACTGTTTGACATATTTGAGTTGTAACAAACTACCCTGTAAAAAAATTATTTATTGTTGTAATTTGTTATGTGTTTTTTTAATCAAGTCATTGAAATTTCAAGGCTGCTCTCTGACACAAAATTAAACAACTTGGAATTAACGGCATATATTCTGAATATGGTTTTGGTCTTCTCATTTTTGTATGGACTCTATATTTCTAGATAAAGTAATCACAACAATTGTCTGTCAGTTTCAGCTTTTATGCAGAGTCTAATATTTCTGAAAGTGTAGTAAAGAGTATGTAGCTCCCAATGTTATCATGTTTATATGGTATGAAGAGGTCAATACCAGGTAATTACTAATAGAATAACAAGAGTTTCATTGTGCTGTGTTTAGCTAATCCTCCTGGCTTTGATTCAGTGGCGTTGTATTGGCACCCGGCGGCATAGTGCAGGGGAAAACATACAAGTACTTACTTTTTGAAAAAAATTGGGAAGGGGGTATAATGTTAGATTCAGGGGAATATGTAGAGTCACACGTACCATCTTGTCTTTATGATGGCCGTGTTCTAGCATTTCTCTTGTCTTCTGAAAGGTGGAAAGGCCGTAAGAGCGGAAGTTAAGCCTGTTAAATAAATAAATAGCTTCTCACTGGTATCTGTCTGTTCAGGTGGCAACACTACAGCCCCCACACCAACCTCACAACAGAATGGTGTTGTTTCCAATGCAACTTCAGGATCAGGGGCTGCAGGAGTAGCGGCCTCTACACCTACAACAGGAGGTCCCCAGACAGTGGGTCCACCGCCAGGAACACCGCCCACAGAACAGTCGGCAAACAACGAACCTCTCCCCCCTGGGTAAGTGATTCATTGTTCTCAGGTTTTGTAGACCAGGTATGATAAACTATAGTTTTATAGTATTAGTACTCCTATGTTTTGACTGTTGAGAGAGTCAGCAAAACTACAAGTCAGAAATCAATCTTAAAGGATGATCATATTTATAGAAATAAAAATGAAAACATAGATTTCCATGAAAGGTTTCAGATATTAAAACAAATCTTCTCTTCTGTTGAAGAAGTATTTACATTATAAGCATTGTGTATTTCAGGTGGGAGATGAGAACAGATGGGCACTCCCGGCCATACTATGTGGACCACAACACACGAACTACCACGTGGGAAAGACCTCAGGCCCTACCCCCAGGCTGGGAGAGGAGAGTAGACCCCCGTGGTCGGGTGTACTATGTTGATCATAACACTCGCACAACTACATGGCAACGCCCAAATATAGACATGGTCAACAACTATCAACAGTGGCAGGAGTGGCGCAACAATCGCTCTATAGCCCTGGAACAGCTGCAGAATCGTTTCCTGTTCCCCAACCCAGCACAGGTCACTCAGGAGAATGACCCCCTAGGACCACTCCCCGAGGGCTGGGGTAAGTTATAACATTACGTAAAAATACGAAGAGTGCCATTTATTCATTTTTGGTAATTTGTTTTGGCAGAATCAAAATGTTTGCATGTAAATTACATGTCAATTATATACACTGTATTTGTAACTATTTGTGCTCTCTAAGACAAATATATAGGAAATCGCACTGAATGCTACGTTTTGAAAAATGTTCTATTTGAGTGTATTTTTGTGTTACAGAGAAGCGAGTAGATGCCAACAGTCGAGTATACTTTGTAAATCATAAAAACAGAACAACACAGTGGGAGGATCCAAGGACACAAGGGTGAGTGACATCAAAGAAAATCAGTCTTGTTTTCTCTTCACTGTGTATTAGTCCTATAAATGAATTCAATGCTGGACCATCGGTAACTGATATAGAGAACCAGATATTCTGAGAGATACCAGGTAAACATTACCTGTTAACTATTAAATTAACAACTGTTAATATCTTGGTTTCAGTATCGTCCAGGAAGACCCCCTACCAGAGGGCTGGGAGATGAGGTATACGGCAGAAGGTGTCCGCTACTTTGTGGATCATAAAACAAAATCTACTACATTCCAGGATCCAAGAGGAGGACCATCGAAAGGGTGAGTACTGCTGTTATTCAATAGTGAACCAATTTGTTGGCTTTTCATTACTCTACTTTTCATCATGTGATTGTCCTGTTAATCAATGGATATTTCCATGTAATATATTTACTAGTGATACATGATCTGTTGTGGCACTGAGGTAGGATAATTATGACACATATTCTTGCAAAATAGATAATGACATTTCTATGGAGACTTGGGATATAACACTGAGATGACTTCAAAATAATGTGAAAAAGCATGTTTTGGAAGTTTTTCTTATATAAAGGTTGTTTGAAAAAAAATAATCCTACCTTTGTCTCCATTTTTGTTATTATTTAAGAAACTCTGAAATTTCGTTTCATAAACTAGCTAAATGAAATCATCATGACTTGTTTCATTAACCTAGTATGAAATGGAAAATGATGCAACATCCTATTTACATGAGGTATACAATAATAGATGTGTCCCTGCAAACTGATTTACTTTGATTGAGAATCTTCGGTTCGTTAAACAATAGAAATTGGCTAGTTCTTTACGCTTCAAAATAAAGTAGATTTCATTGAAGCAAACATCTTATTCCTCATTTTGTTACCAAAGTATCCAACATAGATAATATGTTTGTGCAAAAGCAGGTGCTGTGATCAGATTTGTGGATTCTTCTCCACATATCATCTTCAGAAGGAATTATCTAAATTTCATGAAACTTGCACAGATTTCCTTTTTTTTTTTAAACCAACTTCCACTGCAGTGGTTGTATATTTGGCAAGTTCCACGTATATTTAATTTGTTTTCTGCTCTGTGATTGGATGATGGTATTCAATGATATCTATGAAAAGAAAATCAAATTTCATTGCAACTGCCTTATTCGGCCTTTTACCTCTCTAAACTTTTATGCTCAGCCAGATTCATGTTTATATTCGGTATCAGGCCCCTCTGATCCAATTGGCTGATGAATTATGAAAAATACCTGGTATTCTGTCTGCTAACCTCTGTTATCCATGTTTGATACTCGGCCAAGTACATGTATTTTTAATGATACTGCTGAGACCTTTTCCAAAGGCATCATGACTATATCTTTTAAGGAATTATTAGATTCTGACAAAACAGGTCCATTGTATGCTTACTGCACAACTGTCTTGCTCAAGCTGGATTCCAAAATCCACAAATATTGAATGAGGTTGATTCAGTCTTAGTAATAATGCTATAGCAGATACACACCCATTTAATTGTCAACATGGGTATAGAACAATCAGCCATCTTTCCACTTGAGTTAGTATAGGTAACACATGTAATTCCAAGGTGTCATATTCTGTCTGTAGAAAGAATTTTGTAAGATTTCTAACTTATTGTTCAGATTTTCACATTGCAAGTATATCTGATCAGTCATCATATTGATTGACTGATGTCCTAGAGATCATTTTCTGAAAAACTGATGTTTTAGAGATTTCTACCTTGAGGGACTGATGTTTTAGAGGTAACTGCCCTGAGGGACTGATGTTTTAGAGATTTCTACCTTGAGGGACTGATGTTTTAGAGGTAACTGCCCTGAGGGACTGATGTTTTAGAGGTAACTGCCCTGAGGGATTATCTTAGAGATCTCTATATGAGGGAATTGGTGTTTATAAAAGATTGTGTTGAGTGACTGATGTTTTAGAGATTTATACTCTGAGGGACTGATGTTTTAGAAATCACTCTCCTGAGGGACTGATGCTTTAGAAATCACAGTCCTGAGGGACTGATGTTTTAGAGACCACTGTCGTGAGGGACTGATGTTTTAGAGATCAATGTCCTGAGGGACTGATGTTTTAGAGATCACTGTCCAGAGGGACTGATGTTTTAGAGATCACTGTCCAGAGGGACTGATGTTTTAGAGATCAATGTCCTGAGGGACTGATGTTTTAGAGATCACTGTCCAGAGGGACTGATGTTTTAGACGGCACTGTCCTGAAGGACTGATGTTTTAGACGGCACTGTCCTGAAGGACTGATGTTTTAGACGGCACTGTCCTGAAGGAATAATATCTTAGAGATCACTGTATGAGGGAACAATAGCTTAGAGATCACTGTATGAGGGAACAATAGCTTAGAGATCACTGTATGAGGGAACAATATCTTAGAGATCACTGTATGAGGGAACAATAGCTTAGAGATCACTGTATGAGGGAACAATAGCTTAGAGATCACTGTATGAGGGAACAATAGCTTAGAGATCACTGTATGAGGGAACAATAGCTTAGAGATCACTATATGAGGGAATCGCTGTTTATAAAGATTGTTTTGAGGGACTTAAAGGTTGAGTGTCCTAGGCTCGGTTATAACCGGAACAAGGACATTAAGCTCAAAAAAAAAAAAAAAAGAACTTAAAGGTTAGCAGAATAAGTTGAATACATTGGGGTTTTTTTTTTTTTAATTTTTTTAAAGATATTTGTATGGTATGTTGCATTTCATACTGGAGCTCTCTTATATAAATTGAGTAGAAGGTAATGAGGTGGAGGGAAAAAAAAAAAAAAAAAAGGAATTTATCAGCCCCCAGTGAGGATCGAACTCACGACCCCTGGTTTACAAGACCAGTGCTCTAACCACTGAGCTATGGAGGCTTACATAAGTAGTTAGTTATACTACATTGTAGATGTAGGTGAGTGTGTATTGATTCTAATAGGCAAAGAGTTGTCATATAATCCAGTTGGCAATACAGAGAAGGGCAGTATCTAGGACATGCTGGATATATAAACCTGAGGTATTATAATCGTCTCACCTGAGCTGACATAAGCTACCTACCTGTATAAGCATTGATAGCTTAAATTATATAAACTTTAAAATTCTTCAATGAAATAACACAGCAAAACTTCATGTTTTTAAAAGTAATTTCAAATTTTTGTCCCATCTATATTGTAAAGAATGATTTCCATGGAGAGATATTTTTCCTGCATATAGTTGAACCACATAATTTTCATCAATTTTAAACCATGTTTGTATTTAACTGCCTGGAAAAGACACGTCATGTTTCATTGGAGAAAAAACATGGTGTGTTCATGTGTGCCTAAGTGCGTGTCGGTGTCAATATTTGGGTGTTGCCATGACCAAACGTGCCAGTCGAGTTGTATTGAGCAGATCACTGACTATACACATGTATGAGTTACATACATATTTAAAGCTCCTTTTCCTTGGCTTTGTTTACTTTTCCAGTAATTATTTCTGAATTGATTTCTTTTTCTCTCAAAATAATTAAAAAAGAAAACATTGTTTACTTATTTGGGACTAGCTGAACTATTCAAAATTGTGCTATGTGACAGACTTGTTCTTCTCCACGCATTGTTGCTTTGGAATGCTTTAGGATAAAGCTGAATGGCTATTTAGGCAACCAACTTCTACAGTAATAATCATTCATGCAAAATGTATACAATGATATTATCTTAATAATGTTGTTCTCATTTGGTTTTCTTTTTCTTAGTAACACTTTTTTTTTTATTAAGAGATGTGTCATAAAGAATTTTAAGTCTTTTAAAGACATACTGACCCGAGAAAAATATATCAACAAAGTACATTGTCAATAGATCTCAGGCTAGGTAAATTTACACTGGTATAATTCCAAGATTTAAAAGTTTATTTTTAACCTTAGGTTTCCAGTCATAAGTATTAACAGGAGTTGTGTTTATATTAGTGTAGATATTCATAAATCGCTGATCAACTGAAGTCATTTGTATACTTTCAATATGCCATAATATTGAGATATTAAGTAGCAATTCTATAGGGTATCCTTTGTTATTTATAAGATTTGTACAAAATAAACATGATATATTTATTTCATATGATATCTTGTCCTTTACAAAGTTTGTATTTAAAGTTAATGATGATATTTCTGTTCTATATGATATCTTTTGTCCTTTATAAGTTGATATAAGATGAAAATCATGTTTCTGTTCTATATGAAATTTTATGTCCTTTACATTGTATATGCAATTTAGAAATGAGATTTCTATTTTATGTCTTAATAAGGTTTATAAGGCTGCTGTCCAGGTCAGCTTTTCCTTTAAGGTGACTTTTCTATAACTGAAAGGTCTAGAATTATGATATTTGGCAAAAAAAACTCTGCAGTTGAAGTGTGACAAAGTCTGAAAAATGAAATAGCCTTAACCTATATTTAAGGTGACAGGGGTAATTTTTTTTCAAGTTTTCAGATAACTTCTTCTCAATAACCAAAAGGTCTAGAATCATGATTTTTTTTCTTTCCATGTTTCTTAGATGAAGCCTATCAATATTTGTGAAAACATATGACCATGACCCATATTCAAAGTTAAAGGGGTCAAATCAGTTACAACATTTTAAACAACCTCTTTTCAATAACCAAAATGCCTAAAATAATAGCGATTGGCTATCATACTCTTTGGAGGTAGCCCAACAGGTTTTGTGAAAGGATATTACCTGGAACATTAGTCAAAGTTATAAAACATTCAACTGACATCTCAAAAACCAAAAGATCTAGAATCAAGATATTTGGCTGATAGGTTCCTTGCACAAAGCTCATCAAAGTTTCAGAAAAAGAAATGACCTTGAACTGCATTCCACATCGAATTATTATTAGACAAAACTTTAAATATCAATGATTTAAAATGAGTTGTTTGAAAACAGCATTGAATACCATGTGAGGGATGCAGGCTCATGGGATCTTTGCACTTTGAAACTGAGGCTACAGTGTAATGAAAGGCCCAGTGTGATGTGTTAAAAGAGGATAATGATTGTGTTTAGGTCCAGGAGTGACTAGTACATAGATACTGTAATCTCACAGCAATTTGAGTCATGTAATTCCAGATCTCTGTCTCTCCACACACTGTCACAACACACATTGAACATTATGCACTCCCCCATACATCACCGAAGACTTTGCTGCAGTAATGATCGGGAAAGTCCTTTATATCAAAGTGGGGGAACAGAGGATGACTTGAAGCACTAAGACAGCATGATATTGCAGTACTAATCTAATTGGTCTACCACAGCACATAGTAAATTTGTTCATGTAAAATAAAGGAGTCATTTTCAGTGACTGAAATAATGCTTCTGTAGTGTATGTGTAACTGAAGGATGGAGTATGCATCACCTGCCTGATGGCTGGTGTAAGGGAGACATTCGAGTATGGGAGTATTGCACTCTTGTGTTAAAGATGTAAAGTGAGTGTTGATCTGACCAAGATCATTTATTTCTTGTTGACTCAGATTCAGGTATAATTGGTTTGTCATATTCGACTGGTATTATTGACATCATAAAATATTTTATTTTGTATTTTAAAAAAAAAGAAAAGAAAATGGCTGTTATTAATTAGTGGAGATTGGTGGAGAACAAATCTGAATGAGGTGTGTTTTAATTGATGCTTGTTCTGTCTTATATTACCTGGAAAAACATTATATCATTTAAGTTCAAATCTGATTTGCAACTATAATTAGGTTGTTTCCAAGGTATCTTCAGAACAGTGTCAACAAAAATAAGCCAATAAAGATTGAAAGTAAAAGTTTTGTGTAAATGTGCCATAACAAGGGGTCAAAGGTGTGCATTCAAAGATAAGAAACCTGCACTAAGTACAAATACACATGCTGTATATATCCTTGTCTTCATGCCTTCCATTAAGTGTCTGTGTTTTGCATCTCTCTCCACTTGTCACCACATTTCACCTTTACATTTTCAAATATTGTAAAGATTAGATGTATAAAAAGGGAACATGCTGTCTTGGGAGCACATAACAATACAGTATTACTGTGTTTATAGCCATTGGTTCCACACTGATATTACCTTGAAGCATCCCTGAAAGCTTCTTTTTCTAGATTTAGATTCTTGCTGTCGTCCGATCTTTTAATGTTTTTGTGTTTCTTCACATCATGAACTAGCTTGCAATTTGTATTTCAGTCCCAAAGGTGCATTTGGTGTACCTATACAATACGAGAGAAGTTTCCGGTGGAAGTTGGGGCAGTTCCGATACCTGTGTTCTTCAAATGCTCTATCAGGACATGTTAAGATTACTGTATCCAGGGACAACCTGTTTGAGGACTCTTTTGCACAGGTACAGTATCAATATATATATATATATACACTAAAGCAAACCTTCATTACAAATGTCATGATTTCATGGTCATACCATTCATTTTACAGTTTTGTATCAAGTATTTGTATTGTAAGTAATGTGTTGTCATAGGTAGATACACAGGATTATTACAATCTACCCATGGCTGTAGCAGTGAGGTTAATGTCAAGTCTTGGGGGAGGTTGTGAGCCAAAATTTAATCCAAGAGTCTTCCTTTATTCTTTATACCTACCTTAAATTAAATTTCATTTTCCATGGTCTATCCTGGAATTGATGGCTTTGAAAATGAAAGATCATGAGTGTTTTATATTTAGATGTTGTATAAATTAGCTAAAACGTATATTTGAAAGAAGCATGGTATAAGGAAATAATACCACTTAATAGGTTTCTGATAGCATTTTTTTTCAGTATAATTTGACAGCTTTTCATTAGTTGTAGATATCTGAATATATATCATTGAGATAAAAGTTTCCTCTGTGTGGATGTATGCTTTTCCTTATGACTCTTGTGGATACAAGTATCATATTATTGATTAATGTACAGCTCAGTGTGTGTTATCTGAGTCAGTGTTAAGTGTGAATGTATGTCAACATGCCACTAAAGCAACATCATGATATTCTCATAAGATGCAAAATATGTATCTACAGTCTTGTTTATCCAGCCAAGAGTAACATAAAGTTGAATCAAAGATTCCAACTTGAAATATAAATATTTGAAAATCAGACCAACATTCAAAAGAATGGCTTCATTGTTTTTAAAACTTCTATCTGCAACAGTATATTCATAATTCAAGTACACAACCCAAATATCAACACTAGTAGGGTTAAGCTGTCTTTGTGTCACATTCCATCAACACAGACTTTCTCTTTTGTAGATTATGAGGTTACAGCCATACGACCTGAGAAGAAGACTTTATATTATTTTCAAGGGAGAGGAAGGACTGGATTACGGCGGTGTAGCCAGGTAATTATCTTTTGTATATACCAGGTAGTCAGATTCCTGTACCAGGTAGTCAGTACAAGGTAGTCAGATTCCTGTACCAGGTAGTCAGTACAAGGTAGTCAGATTCCTGTACCAGGTAGTCAGATTCCTGTACTAGGTAGTTAGTACAAGGTAGTCAGATTCCTGTACCAGGTAGTTAGTACAAGGTAGTCAGATTCCTGTACCAGGTAGTCAGATTCCTGTACCAGGTAGTCAGATTCCTGTACTAGGTAGTTAGTACAAGGTAGTCAGATTCCTGTACCAGGTAGTCAGATTCTTGTACCAGGTAGTCAGATTCTTGTACCAGTTAGTCAGATTCCTGTACCAGGTAGTCAGATTCCTGTGCCAGGTAGTCAGTACAAGGTAGTCAGATTCTTGTACCAGGTAGTCAGATTCTTATACCAGGTAGTCAGTACAAGGTAGTCAGATTCCTGTACCAGGTAGTCAGATTCTTGTACCAGGTAGTCAGATTCTTGTACCAGGTAGTCAGATTCCTGTACTAGGTAGTTAGTACAAGGTAGTCAGATTCCTGTACCAGGTAGTCAGATTCTTATACCAGGTAGTCAGTACAAGGTAGTCAGATTCCTGTACCAGGTAGTCAGATTCCTGTACTAGGTAGTTAGTACAAGGTAGTCAGATTCTTGTACCAGGTAGTCAGATTCTTGTACAAGGTAGTCAGATTCCTGTACCAGGTAGTCAGATTCCTGTACCAGGTAGTCAGATTCTTGTACCAGGTAGTCAGATACCTGTACCAGGCAGTCAGATTCCTGTACCAGGTAGTCAGTACAAGGTAGTCAGATTCCTGTACCAGGTAGTCAGATTCCTGTACTAGGTAATTAGTACAAGGTAGTCAGATTCTTGTACCAGGTAGTCAGATTCTTATACCAGGTAGTCAGTACAAGGTAGTCAGATTCCTGTACCGGGTAGTCAGATTCTTGTACCAGGCAGTCAGATTCCTGTACCAGGTAGTCAGTACAAGGTAGTCAGATTCCTGTACCAGGTAGTCAGATTCCTGTACCAGGTAGTCAAATTCTTGTACCAGGCAGTCAGATTCCTGTACCAGGTAGTCAGTACAAGGTAGTCAGATTCCTGTACAAGGTAGTCAGATTCCTGTACCAGGTAGTTAGATTCTTGTACCAGGCAATCATATTCCTGTACCAGGTAGTCAGTACAAGGTAGTCAGATTCCTGTACCAGGTAGTCAGATACCTGTACCAGGTAGTCAGATTCCTGTACCAGGTAGTCAGTACAAGGTAGTCAGATTCCTGTACCAGGTAGTCAGATTCCTGTACCAGGTAGTCAGATACCTGTACCAGGTAGTCAGATTCCTGTACCAGGTAGTCAGATTCCTGTACCAGGTAGTCAGATACCTGTACCAGGTAGTCAGATTCCTGCATCAGATACTCAGACACCCTAGGTATCTCCAGATGAAACCCAACAATTCAGAACATGAATTGTAACATATACTTTTTGAGAGACAAAGAACACTTGATTGTGGTTTGAGAGGGAGTACAGGTTTGATATATGTTCTTGTATGTTGTGACATTTCGGGAAGATTCTGCTCAGAATTCAATTTATGAGCAGTGATCAACCACAGATGAGCTTTTAATTCAGCATGTTACTTTATTGTATGATTGGTGTATTCTGTAAAACTTTTGGAAAATTTCAAAGTAATTTTTAATACCATGAATAGGACAACATACATGGATTAGTACAGCATCAAACAGTCTTGTTATTGGTGGTTTTTTTAAACTCTATCATTGTATATGGTTGCTGTCAGTTGTATTACCACATGCAGAAACACCTATCTGTGGTTACTTATTTTCTGTTACAAAAAAGGAAAGCTTACCAAGATACTTTATTGAAGCATTTCATCATTCCTTTCATGTTACTCATACTTAGTGTTACCAAAGTGACACTGGAACTTCCTTTCATGTTACTCAGCCTCAGAGATACACTAGATAAACTGGATACCACTACCTCAGTGTTACCATAGTGATACTGGAACATACTGTCATGTTACTCAGAGTTATAATAGAGATACTGGATACCACAGTCTCAGTGTTACCATAGTGATACTGGAACATATTGTCATGGTTCTTAATTATATAACTAGATAATGTTACTAGTTCACTGGAACATACTGTCATGTTACTCAGTCTCTTGCTATGGTGATACTTGAACTTCCTGTCATGTCACTCAGCCTCTTTTCTATCATTATGATGCTGGAACATTCTGTCACAAATTCTTATCCACAATCTACTTATCTACATGTATCACAAGATAAAGAGTTTATGATAGTATGAATGCAATAGGATACATATATGTTCTATGTAGCATGCATTAGCACTACATTTTGAATATGTCTGTATCTCCTTGTATTCATAACACCGTAAATGCAACAAAAGTGCTGTTCAGTGTAATATGTATATATATATATATTTACATAGTTTCATACTTATTGTGGCTATTGTAATTATTTAAAAAACTAAGTCAGTTGCTCTCTTGTGTAACTATGGTATGCCTTGTAGCTATGATAGCAGAAGATAGAGTTCCAATGAATAAGGCAATATTTTATAAGATTATTACAACAATAAACGGTGACAGTGATATTTGTCTAACTGGTTATTAATATATCTAAAAAACAGTTTATTGATCAGTGATAAAATGAAGCATCAGAATCACAAAGATAGATATAAACCACAAACCAGTGATCGGACCCTGGCAACACACGTAATCAGTCGGTGTAAGGAAAGATGCAATTGTGAAACTGGAATATGTTAGAATTCTAGAGATATTTAATGCCAATGTTATGCGATTCCCAATCTCAGGACGTACCAAGGGCAGGGTAATATCGGATAAATCGGTTATCTGACTACCAGGCCCAGAACTCTAACATTAGAGCCCTTGATTCCAGGGTTAAGCTTAAGGTCTATGTACGATTTGATCTGGAAATTTTGTTTACGGTAACTCAGATGCAATGACTGTCGTATTGATTATATAGAGACGTATGTAAATTTAAGTTTGTGTTCTTGTTAAGATGAGATATGAAGGATAACAGATGATTTTAACTGTTTTATATTGTAATCAAGATTAATCCAAACCTCTGAAACTAATTTCAAATGTTACATAACCTTACTTAGGGTAGTAAATAAACAAATCCTACAGTTTGGATGTACTTTGTATGTATGTATATGAGGATATCATTGACTCATTCAGGGAGTGGTTTTTCCATCTATCACATGACGTACTGAATCCCATGTATTGCCTGTTTGAGTATGCCAGTCACAGTAACTACAGCCTACAGATAAATGCTGCGTCGAATGTCAACCCTGACCACCTCGTATACTTCAGGTTTATTGGACGATTTATTGCCATGGTGAGTGCTTTAAAATTAATAATTGGACTTCGGTGATAAGTAAAATCACAATCTCAAACATTTTGACAATAATTACTGAAAATGTCACTCGCACATTTCCGATAATGTCAAATTATTGTTACAAGTTGAAGCACTAGAATATTTCTGTTGGAAATTTTAATCCTTGTTGACTGTTATAGAGTATGTAACTTGATGTAATAAAGAGTTTGTGACTTAATGTTGTAGGCCCTGTATCATGGAAAGTTCATTGACAGTGGATTTACACTGCCTTTCTATAAGAGGATGCTTAACAAGAAACTCCACCTGACAGACATTGAAACAATAGACCCGGAGTTCTTTAACTCCCTAACTTGGATACAGTAAGTATAGGTGCTACAAGATCTGCAGATAAAATGTCTGATTTTATGGCGATTGTCTCAAAATTCCATGTAAAATAAACCATTGAAGCATGCAGAATATAAAGAAAAAAGACACAGCCATGTTCAACTTCCTTTATGGTATTATAATGTCAAGTCATAACTACATATTTTATGTCAAAAAATCAATAACCTTATAATAAACTCATTGGTGACACAAAACCACTGAGGGTCAAGGAAGAATGCAAAGCCAATGAAGGCCAAGGACAAACACAAAACCACTTAGGGTCAAGGACAAACACAAAATACTGAGGCTCAACAAACACAAAAACACTGATTCCAAGAAGGGAAAGGGTTTTTATTATACAAGAAAATAACATCTGTGTGCACTTATACAGTACTATCTCATAAATTCAGAGTGTATGAAAAACATTTCTGCATTTCCTAAATTACTTCTTTTTAATGTTTGTATTTTTCTTTGGATATTCTTGAACTTATAGTTAAGAAAAAATAGTTACATTCCATTACATACATAAACCAAGAAAGCAAGAGATAATTGGGTAGTATTTACAAATCATTTATTATACCAGAACATATATCACTCTGTTTATCAGAGATAATCATTCAAGAAATGCAAAATTCCTATTTCTGATAATGATTTGTGTCAATGCTTGGCTTTCTTTTAATTCAGTCAAGTGTACCATGACTGACTTAACCTTCTTTGATCATTTATTATACTGGCCATGTGTAACGTTTCAGGGACAACAACATAGATGAATGTGGTTTGGAGCTTTTCTTCAGCTCTGACTTTGAGGTGTTGGGCAAGATAGAGCAACATGATCTGAAGGAGGGTGGTGCTGACATTCGGGTCACAGAGGAAAACAAAGAGGAGTATATCAAGTAGGTTATGCCAGGATATAAAGTCACTTCAATCTAAAACAGGTCATACAAAATGTTTCTGAAAAGATGTTTTGATTGTAAAAGCCATAACGGATGTAAACCATCATATTTTTCAGTCAGTCTAAGTAATTATTGATAGAGAGGATGACTTTATATAGAGGTTCAGTTACTATGAATTGTGATACACCAGGAAGAAAAACAAAAGTGACCTTATTGACCCAAATACGTTTATATAGAGGTGGCCTTTCAGGTTTGAGAAATTTTATTTTGTGCAGTGATGACAACTGAATAATTTAATTTTTCTGTGCTACCATTGTATTATATTGGTTAGTTTAACCTTGAACTTGTTCTTATTTAATCAGTCTGATGACTAACTGGCGGTTCCAGCGAGGGGTTGAGGACCAGACCAAGGCTTTCCTGGATGGGTTCAGTGAGGTGGTGCCACTCCAGTGGCTCCAGTACTTTGATGAGAGGGAGCTTGAGGTAAAGTCACCTGTACTATCCATATCTTTAATGTAAAATACAAGAAATGACTCAAGCATATGGAAAAGTTCCTGTGTTTTTTTAATTGGGTAACTTGTTTTTCTCACACTTGCTTATGACCAATGAAAAATATAAAGGAAAATAGAGCTCACAAAGTCATCACTCCCAGTAAGGGTTGTGTAGAGTAATCGTGTCACAATAAATTTTTGCACATATTTAATCCAATGTAAATGATGATGCACTGTGTACAGTTCATGACGTCAGCCCCAAATATGATAGGCAACTTCAAGATTATTACTGTCCAGTTTAGATAACTCTGTCAACAACACACACAGAGGTGATTGATTTTGTTGTTTGAATGGTGTAGGTATTTTGTTGTCCTGACTATGTTTTATATATTGAATTATATATTGTTTTTTGAATGATATGTTTATTGATATTTCCAGTTGATGTTGTGTGGCATGCAGGAGGTAGATGTGGATGATTGGGAGAGGAATACTATTTATAGACACTATCAGAGAAACTCCAAACAAGTTGTCTGGTTCTGGAAGGTAAGAAATTTGGTCACCTCCCCTTGGGTCATTTATTGAATTTTACATCCTTCATTTAGCAGACTGGTATATGTCAAAGAGAAACATGCAGTAAATATATCTCCTAATGGAAGGCATTATCGTACTGGTGGATGGATTTCTAAAATATGTATAGATTGCCTTATGATTGAATTGAGCAAAATCATGGAAAAGTTACAAGCATTTGGAATGTATTCCAATACAATTTACGTCTACATGGCAGAAAGCCATAAACTGCATACAGACTCTCCAGTGTAAGGGAGATAACACCTGATTTGTTGTCTGTTTCAGTTTGTGAGAGAAATTGATAATGAGAAGCGTACACGACTGATGCAATTTGTAACTGGAACGTGTCGTTTGCCTGTAGGAGGGTTTGCTGAGTTGATGGGTATGTTTATGTACATAATTATAGTTTATGGTGTTTAAGTTGATGAAGTTTTTTCTTTTTAATGATAATGATATTAAATTAATAAAAATATAGAAATTGGTGAATTTTGCCTCTTATTTTTTAACTGTTTGAAATATGACTTATTATTTTGTGTTTTGTTTAGGTTAAAGCTTAAACATTATAACTTTGAAGCTATAAACTGAAAATTTCAGTCGTTGAACAATTCCGTTTATCTTATGATGATATACCTAATGTGTATTCAATTTGGTTGTTTATAGGAAGTAATGGTCCACAGCGATTCTGTATAGAGAAAGTAGGCAAGGAGACTTGGCTCCCACGCAGTCACACCTGCTTTAACCGATTAGATTTACCCCCTTACAGGACCTATGAACAGTTAGTGGAAAAATTGACAATGGCAATTGAAGAAACAGAAGGTTTTGGACAAGAGTGATGTTTAGTTAAGCAAACAACTGGTGATAATAAAAGACAAGTTTTTGGCATATTTGTACATAGAATCATAGGAGAAACCTCTTCTTATTTCTGCGCGAGATTGAAATGAATGAATTGTTTCTATATACCAGCACTACATATATAGCATAACTGTACCGGGTCCTTTTTAATGCATTTGCCTTTGTTTTAAATGTTGATAGAACTTGTCTGTAGAGTATGGTGAGGTATTGAAATCCAAGTGTGAAAGGTCTTGCTTATCATCAGTAGGAAATATTCTATGCAGGACACAGATTATCTATATTTGCTCAAAATAAGTTTTCCTCCGTTATATCATTCTACTACAGAATCTGAAAGTTCAGAGAATTCAAACATGAATCTTGTAATGTGGATCATTGTGTTGGTTGGTCAGTTACAGACAGAAATATCCAAGGCGGTCATTGTGTGAATTCAGTGTAACGTCAGAATGATCCATTCCATAATATTAGGATTGATAGATATAATTATGTCAGAGATTTTGAATCAAATTCAATGATGTCACAGATTTGTGATTGAGAAAATTTTGTCAGATTCAAGTATTTATAAGGTCCTTATTTGCTTTGACTTCTAAATAAACAGTGGTGAACAAGGTTAGAAATTTAATTTTTCCCAGGTAATACAAAATTGTGGAAAATATGATTCAGGATTTTAATAGAAACTGATATTCTACAATTGTTTTATAAATCAATCTGTTAACAGTTGCATATATTATATCTTTATTTTGCACTTGCAATAAACCTTCAACTCATTTCTCTTCAAATTATTGTAAAAATACCTGCCCTTGTACTGTTAAACATGATAAAGGTACAAATGCTTGAAAAGAAACACCAGGCATTATGATTCAGTGCTAGATATATTTGATCATAAGTAAAGACAACTGCGAAATAATGAATGAGTACTATTTTTGTATGGAAATATTTGACAACCAGAATTGATAATGTTGTGTTGAGGTGACAACTGTTATATGTATCATTGTTGGTATTGCACACCGTATGTAACAGATATATAGAAGATTTTATATAGTACAATGGGCTTTCATGTCCAGACACACACAAACAAAACATGTAAAACCCTGTAGTGTGTGTGTCGTGTTGATTTCGTTGTTTTATCCCTACCCAAGTGTAAATGTACAGTTCTGTTTTTACATCATATCTTCACTATTGAGACAAATTAGATTTTTGTTATACTGTATAGTGTTAGAAAAAAAACCTCCCCTATTACTCTTGCTCCTAGGTTTGAAACACTGTACAGTATTTACACCTGCATAATGAATGATCAACATGATTTTGCCTGTTGAAACCTAACTTTGTTTCTTCTCCCTAGTGTTAATAGGATACATATACCCTGAAACAGTGAAAATCTGTTCACCTCTAAATTCTAGATAGAAAAATTTGTATGCAGTCTTATATGTCTCTATTCAAGGATTTATATTAATTAGAAACCTCTTGAAAATAACTAACACTTTGTACTGTTCATTACAATGTTCACTATTACCTCACTTGAGACAGAACAGTGTAATATTAAGTTACCTCCCCTTCAATCTTAGCAAAAATCTGCAATTTAGTTTGTTTCTGTTTTGTATATTACAACAAATGTGATTTGTACACAGTACGAAAATGTTGCAAATATAAATGTATATATATTGTTGATTCTGTTACTTGGTCTGAATGAGATGCCTTGTTTGTTTTATTATCCCATATTTCAGATTTTATTTCTGTATTTTGAGCATGTTCTGCAAAATGAAATATATATCCATATAGTCAATTTGGGGTTATTTCTCCACAGTTTTAATTCATATCATACAAGATCACTTATATTCTGTTTTATTTAGAACCATCAATGTCTGATTTGTCTAGTACACTTATGTGTCTAGTATCGCCTAACAGACATGTCTAGTGTGAACCTTCGTGTGTCTTTTATAAATAATAGTCATGTCTTTCAGAAAATTGGCATGTCGAGTGTGAACTTTCATGTGTCTTACAGATGAAAGTCATGTCCTACAGATAATTAGCACTTCCAGGGTTAATCTTAGTCTGGTGTTTAAAAGAACCATGCATTGTTTGTCAAAGAGACACAACAATTAGGGTGTCATTGTACAATTTGAAACATTTGTAGTAGGACTTCATTTAAGCATTTAGAAATGTCTTGTATGGTATGTGACGAATATTAAAAGCTAGTTAAAAGATATATATACTGTCATTCTTACTGATAGTTATGAAGCCTAGACTCATGCAATGTTGCCAAATGGTTTGGAATGATAATTAATGCCTTATTGTAAACTTTATCACAGTGATAATTTTAAATTTGAAATCTTTTGTGGAGTTTAAGCTATTTTTATAAGTTTCATTGTTACTTTAATTTGAAATGAAATTCCTATAATTTTCCCCCACACGAAAAGTTTGTAAACATCTGTGAACTTGTAGATTTAGGATGTTTTTATGTGTTGAATCGCCCATCAGCAACAGATATTTACGAATGAAAGAAAGTGTACCTGATTTTCACAACGCAAAACTTTGAAAGTTTGAATTTTATGAATGTTTAAGTGAGGCTGTATGAATGTGCTGATTTTGTTTTTAACATGCTAAGTTATTTCCTTTGGTGTGGCAGTGTATTGATGAGGTATGTGTATGATGTATAAGCTGTTTAACAGTGAGGTCTTTGAAACTTTGTCACCAAATTCCTCCATCTTGAAAAAAGTGTATACTGATATATACAAGATATTTCAGTATTATCTTAAAGAGCAGTTGAAAGAGTGTCAGATAGATTTTTGAGGTGACCTTTTTTTTTTAAGACCGTATGATGTATATTAAGACTTCATAGAGGTAAATATACATGATCATGTAATTAAACATCAGAATATGACAAAAAGGTCAAAGGTTATGACATTATTTTATCCAGTAATGTTCTTAGCAGATCATCTTGTGGGTTTCCAGGCTCAGAACACAAACTTCCATTTTTACATGTGACTAACTTTAGGACAAACCTGGATTAAATGAAATGGAACACTAATAATTAAAATGAAAAGAATAATAATTTTAATATAACTGCAAGTTGCTAACTCTATAAGATCTTTTTTTTTTTTTCAAATTAGGGGAAAAAAGATGAGAAAGAAACATGTTAAACTGCTTGATTTCTTCACTGGGTATTTGGTTGGTATTTTAATCTTGCATGTTTAGCAGTTTTGACATTTTCAGCCTGAATATGTCATAAAAAGTTGGCAGAATGTTGAAATAGCAGTCAGTCAATTGACAGATGTTTTGATAGATGATGTCCCTTTTTGTTTTAATTGTTGACCTCTTGTGGATGAGTATCGTGAATGTTGAGCGTTCGTATGCATTGGTATTGTGAATATTTACAGTATGTGCATGTAATGTGTGTGTGGCATGAATATTTGTTACAAGGTTGATGAATATTCATAGAAAGCGTGTATTTTGAGAATTATTGATCACTGTGATGGTAACAAATTTGTACATACTAGATATGATCTATTCTGTCCATGACTTCTTCGCCAGAGATCTTGGGAGAGTGGACTTCTGGAACTGTACATATCCTTGCAATATTTAACAGAGGACTGTAACTAAAACAGTACTAATGCACTGTCTGTCTACAAGTCTACTCCTTAGTAGCTTTGCTTTCTCATTTTCAACAGGAAATCTGGTAGAATTCTCTCTTTTTCTTCATCATTTGTGCGCATGGTGTCACGATACCAATATTCTAACAGAATTTTTTGTGATCAGTTTGTCGGTCAGGTTTAGCCCATCCTGTGGAAATCATTTTTTTTTTTTTTTGGTAGGAATTCTAAGTGACTACATTCTCATGAAATAATCCAGAAAGTAAATGATTCCTTTCACTCAAATACATTGTAGTTAGACAACGGTCTCATTAATATACAGCTTTCATTTATAGATATCTATGTGACAATATTGGAAATAAAGACGGACTAACATGCTACGGATTGAACTATGTTAAAGCAATATAACCAGAATGATTATTATCTTGCTTGATTTAAGAAAACTTGTATCATTAGCCACAGGCACATAATAGTTTTTATTGGATATTAGATCAAAAGACTAGGTTAAAAGATTTAATCAACTGGAGTCCTGGTCTTTCAGTAAACACAAAGTATAGTTATTGATTTGATGCTTTTTGTTGTTTCTGTATTTATTTCATAATTCTGAAACCATACAGCGAGGAGGCCTGCATTGAAAGCTGTTTCCAAATAGTATTTCAGATGATTGAATTTGTCTTGTATTTGACTACTACTTGTTTCTTATAATTAGTGGACATTTGTAGAATGGTTTTGTTCATCATAAGAGATCAGTGTAGTGTTTATATGGACTTGTTGTAGACCAGTTTGTTACCTGTGTCCTGGTTGGTCTATATACTAGGTGTTTTGGTAGAGATTTCAATGCAGTATTATTCTCGCACACTCCCTCCGTATCATGCATTGATTGATGATAAACTGACAACAAATATGATTCAGTGTTTATATACATTACGAGGACAATAAATTTGTGATGAAAGCTGATAAACATTGTTTTTAAAATGTCGTCTTTGGGTTACCGGGTGGAGTTGGTAAGGAACATCTATATATAAATGCGGTATAATTCTTATCAAATTTCAACTAAATCATCATAATGTTTGACTTTTTATTGTCTGCCATTCAAAGTACAATATAATCCCTTGTTTGATTCCAAAGGAAATACTTTAAAAATATTGTACCATGTAAAAATGATGCCAAATATTCTGTTTACCTGACAGTAAACCTGTACACAAGTCTGTTCACATATATATGACTGTTCAGTGTTTTTAGGGTGGGTTTCCTGTCAGTAACCGGCAGCTACCTCACTGAACACGCATGTAAGAATGTAAGAGACATTTCAAATGCCTTGTGGAGTAATTACTAGGAAAAGTCTTGTCTACAACACGGTAGCACAGTATAATCTATCTGATCACAGCTCCCTAAAAAACACTGCAATAGGTGTGGATTGAACAACAATCTTCACCTGAATTTGCGAATTCTGATGTTGTAATGGCTGACATACTTCAATCATCAAAACAGTCTACAAGGAAATGGCAATGTATGGAATAAGGACCCAGCTCTAGCTTATAGTAACTAACACACACACAGGGAACTGTCACAAAGTTTACAACCAGACAGACAGCTACATCAATATAAATCAGATAAAAAGGTGACATTCTCACCGTCGCTGATCTATGGATGGGAAGCACTGATACATACAATCAAATGCTAGCCTTCTTCTAACTGATTAAAGAGATCTGACTCTGTGTTAGATAAACAAAATCTACAAAAAAAAGTTCAGCAGAGTCTTCTGTGAATTACTCAACCTGAGAAGACAGATTAGAGAAAATGTCAGTCTTGATTTATTTGGATGACGTAACCTGAGAGACACTGAAGAACATGACCATCCCGATAATTCTTCTATATGACTTTTAAAAAAGTGAACAGGGCTACATGTGTAATAGAAATAAATTAATTGAAGAATTTGTAGCATCACTGTTTTGTTAAACAAGGATCTTCAGGAATACACACCATTAAAAATTGACAAGTTTCATACAACGAAAACCAGGTCTAGAGCTTCATAAACATCACTTGTGCTGTTTTCTTTTAATTATACATGCTACTGGACTTCAAGGTGCAAAATGTATAATTTACTTAATTATATTATGCAGTGTCAAGAACTACATATATGCGAATGTTGGAACAAATACTACATAGCTAAAAATGTGTTAAGACATCATCAAACCATAAGTGGATTCTCTCACAGGACACAAGGAACAGAAACCAAGAGGACAAAATTGCTAATTACTTATTTTGAAGTTTTTACTCAGAACTTTTTGCTGTGTCTGACAAACACTTTATTATTTTTTCTGTACAGGTGAGATTTTACAAACTTATATATATTGGTATGTGACATGAATGAAGAAAATCATTTCAAGAGAAAAATCATACGATTGGTTTGCAGTCTTACAATTAATAAGGAATTCCAGGGCATTTTATTCATGGATATGATGAACCTTATAACTGTAAAAAGAAAAAAAAACTGACATATTTAAAATATGACTTTCATTGTAACACCAAATCATGACAACACTTTACAACATACACTACCTGTTGAAATAACAGATGGGAATAATGTTTTTTTATCGTTTTCGTTGGCTTCGATCTGTTGTTCACATTTCAGGCTTAATTGAATGAGCTGTATAAAGTTCTCCATCATTGAGTCGACCTGAGTGAAAAATGGAGTAGCTAAGGGACCGACCACTATATTAAAAAGATTTTGATCTGCCGATGAAAAAAATCCTCGATTGATTTCATCTAAATCAGTTGTCAATTTCATATTGATAGAAGAATTTCATAGTATTCAGTAATAATGTATAGAGGTAGCATTTACTAACTTGTTTTGTTGATACAACTCAAAGTGACTGACTGGAGAATCTCAAAGCTTAGGTAGATACAGTGCTGTGATTTATCACATTCCTAGATATCTACAAACTTATTTAAAGTGTTGAGTGACGTTAGTGATTTCAATTAATTTTCCGTATTAGTAGTAATGTGTTCCAAACAGTTATGAAAAATTTGTAAGACAGATGCTAAGTAAGAGTTTCCAAGCCAGACAAATACAAAGCTTTATAACATGCGTACTAAGGAAAAGCCGTTATAACGCGGGCGGACTGTCTCGGGGCCTTGTCTAGCTCATCAGCATCTAGTACAATCAGAGACGTATATAACACATGTGATATATACGTCTCTGGTACGATCATCCCAAAACATAGATATGTTATAAATGCGAAGTAGTGCGTGACATCAAAGTAAATATATCTATTTAAATAAAGCAGTTACCTTTTTCATAACCACTTAACACTAGAAGTAAGGGCAACCCTAAATGTTCATGGAAATTAGTAAAGTTAAGAAAATTTTTTCCATTAAATTCTAACTCCAGATTTACAGTCAGTTGTTTAAAAATTAGATTCGTGATAAAAATGCCTTCAAGAACAACAGATAGTTAAATCTTAATAGTGTATAAAAGCATTCAAGTATGCTGCTTTGGAATCAATCGCTATCGAAAATATGATTCATAAGGTATTGAAAAAAATCGATGAACACAATTGTACAATATATAGCATAATCGTGTACTTAAAGACATATTTTCTTACGTTGCCAGTTAAGAGAAAGTACTCCACGGCGAATTTGATTGTTTGGTATCCTTTTCTTGACATTTAGAGCAAACAGAGCTGAAGGTATGGATCATTTCTTTTATACTTTAGCAGGACAAAAAGCAAATGTCTATTTATAGACATATTTTTGTACAATAAAGGTTCACACATACTTAGGTTTTATGTACATGCTGTTTCAGTTTATATGTAAATGTATGTATGGTAATTAAGTCAGGTGATCACTGTGGGGCTTTGGTGATTCCCGTTTTGCTGACCCAGTTTGCCCCTGCGGGGCTATTGAAAACCCCACATCAGCAGCATTTTTCAGACACCTCGACGCCATATTGATTTTTTTAAAATTTTCTCGAGAAGTTTTCTTCTTATTCACAACGTGACTTTCTTATTCACCTGTAGTTATTTTACAGCACGTCCCACCAACCTCCCCATACTACCTCCCTTTAATTGGTATATGTGAGCTTTTATTTCTTGTCTTCTTAGTTTGATACTGACTATGTTCTGTCTATAACGCACTTTGTTTGTAATGGTAGCTTTCATCAAGATGTATTTATGTGTATATAATTATGTTTGTAAAATAGTTATTCACAAGAGATATGTATGTATATTAGATTAGCAGAGTCCCGGTGCTTCCCCTTTGGACGTTGGGCCTATCTGCCAGCCGCAGGTTTCCTCTCGGAGGTTTTTCCTGGTTTTTACTCGAACGTAGGCGTAGTTTCGCTCACCTTTGCTCCAAATATGTTACTATGATATTTTCATATGTACATGTTAATTAAACTAGGTTGAAAATAAACGGCTTCCCTATTCTAAAAAAGGGTATGCCAAGTTTTACAGCCAATAGGATTGTTTGGTATTCTTTTCTTGACATGTAGAGCAAACAGAGCTCAAGGTATGAATAATTTCTTTTATACTTTAGCAGGATAAAAAGACATATTTTCTTACGTTGCCAGTAAACAGAATGTACATTAACATACATTGCCGGTAATGTAGCCGTTGTTTTCAGTTTTTTTTTACTGTTTGATGTTTTTTTTCTGGTAACGTTGCCGGTTACGTTTCACGACAACGTCGGCACTATTGGTAACTGACCGGCACTGCGGTCTAAATGGAAGTCCCCTTGGTCTCCGTCAATGTGAATGTGTGACGTCATTTCATTCTCTAATCCTGGTTATAATTACCTGAGATAAAACACATTATTTTCAGTTGGCATTTATGAGCATATGTATGCAGACATAAGGGCCAAATTCATGAATTTTGTCTAGAATTGCCAATTAAAAGCAATTCAATCCTTATATCCATCATTTTCAATTTTCAACTATTTCGTTACTGCAGGGAACAGTTCTACGCCCATGGCAGTTCATGAGCTGATAAAACGCATAACTTTGGTAGTTCGTTCCCCGTAGTATTACCATATCATAATTTTGAGTATATTTACTGTATAATGTCAGACGGGCCAGGTTTTCTCTGAAGAACAGTGAGGTTATTGCAGTGGATTTAGACAAATCGAGACAGACGGGACATAAAGTAACATGTTTATTATCATGTTGAATTGTACTAACATTGATTTATTGTCATTAGGTATATTTTTATAGACTGTTTAATGTTATATATATATATATATATGGCCTGTCAGTCCTTAAACCAATTCGATTAGTATAACATTGCGTTTTGTTATGTGGTGAATTTGAACAAAAACTTTATCCCGTTTAGGTCTCTGAATTTAAAAAATGAAGTCAAATAAAGTTTATTTATTCATACTTTTATTCACATGTTATATTTCAGAAGCCAAGTAAATAAAAATGAGATGACTCCCTGTAGTACTTTATGCCCCTTTAATTTTGGTATTTTAATATCATACTAGCTATGAGCACGACTTGGATTAGATGGCAGTCCATGTCCGTGTTATAAGCATGTATCCTGTTTATTTTTAGTTTTTACCATATTGGACACATGCGTAATTAGACACAAGTCTTACATAATATATACACTGTATCAACATTTATTATGTTTGCATGGCCTTAAATAATCAATTTGTGTTATCTAGCTATTTACAAAGCTATCTGTGACGCATATTATTATTGCGATGTTTTTGTTTTTTAATTTGCTGTCGTTTTTATATTGCATCATTGTACTGCTGTGGTTGTTAACTGAGCTAAAGTTAATTGGCAAAACATGACTTTAAATAAAATTTTTTGTATCTTGTGTACCAAGATATACCAAATGGACTTATAGATATCATAACATATTGTTTTTAAAAGTAATACTTTCTATGGATTTACAAAGTAATATTTTGCATTACTTAGCTAGATAGTTAATACAAAAGTACTGTACTTTTTGTCGCATTATTATGATAAATGACATCATTTAAAATAAATTACGCCACAGATATAAACTAGTTTAACCGAGTTATTTGGCGCAATTATTGTAATAAAAACAGGATGTTCCACATTGAAAACATTACTTTTTTTGTTTAATATTTGACAGAGTTGTTACGGTTCACCTGACAGACCGGACTCTATCAGAACTTATGCGCAGGTGAGTTTACCCATAATGCACCAGTTTCCAAAACAGGTGCTTGCAGGTATCACGTTTGGAAAGATGGGAGTTCAGACATGACTTACTCCCCGTGCCACGCTGCAAGGATCCGGTTCACGAATGATGAAGTTGTTATGCATCCGTAAATGCAAGATATACACAGAGAAAACCTTCATTTTCATTCCGTGCGTCCGGACCTGGTAACGATAGACGCCAATATGGCTGATAAAGGGAGCATACTTGGCACTGTCCCACGGTATGAAAGAAGTATCTTACGTCGTCACTGTTAGCACGACTGACGAGGGGATTAGTGCATCTTTGACATCCGAACAATAATTACATCAGCTTTTTATTTTCGCGGGATTTAAAATGTGAAAACTCTGGCATATACTTGTGAGAGTTACTGTTACGAACTTTGAATTGATCGCCTTTGTTATTGTGTCAAAATGACCCACGACAAGTCGATGTCATAGGGGTGATTCAATGTTGACATTTCTACAACAACACGAGGAAATATTTCGCACTACTCAATGTGCGTATATGATTCATGTAAACAAAGAGACCATTAAGGACCATGTCACAGTTTAAGTCTGACAACTCCACCAAAAAGAAACCTCCCAGAATTTTAGCAAATCGGTATGAAATTGTTAAAAAACTTGGGAAGGGAAATTTTGGAACAGCATACCTTTGTAAAGACTTGAGACAGAAAAATTCTACAGATGGATCTGACTTGTAAGTATACATACATTAATCTTTTTGACAACATCCCATATCCATCCCTCGGAATCAACTCTTAATTAATCACGATAACTCCCACTCTATGTAGGACCTCATGTTGATTATCATCTCTGTATGTCCACATTGTCAGCCTTTTACCACTATTGTCAGCCAAGTTATTCAAGCTTGTCTTAATTTGTTTTGTTGTCCGGATGGGAGGAGGCAAGGTGTTAAAATGTGGGAGGAAACCCACAACCGCACCGAGAATCAAACCTCCGACATCTAGGTCGAGGTGAAAGGTGACTGTATAACTACTGTGACATCCGACCACCTGTTGTCTGTCAGTCTGTCTCCTTTGGTTCATCACATCACCCAACAAAGTGCACTTTGTCGATGCAACCATAAAGTGACTTGCAGCTTCCACAATCCATGGATAGACCATCAGACTTCGAAAGCTCTGGTGAAGTTTTTAAGATGTGTGGTTGGGCAATTCCTACTTAGGGTAGTTTTGTGTTCAATAGAGGATGGAGGGGGTGGTATGTTTTTATCTGGAATCTGAGAATTTCAACTGTCATTGCTTTGTCCTTCAGTAAGACACCTTATTCCAATGGCTGTGTAAGGTATGTGATGGGCTCACATATGTTATAATTTGACACCTTTAGCTACATAAGGAGATATAGTTTCAAAATGCCCTTGACTGTTGATGGGATGATAAATTTAGCAAAACAACCACAGGAACATATTAAGATATGATAATGTGTTTCATTTTGGCCTCAGACACCCATAACTGACAAGGACCTGAACTCTGGGTAATCAGAATATTTGCCTATTCTACTATATATAATATAGACAAAACTGAGAAAATGGTGAATTTGTGATACCAGAGAGGCATAATCTTCACAAAGTTTGAACCATGCTTCATTAATATTTAAAATGCTTTATTCTTTTCCTTACATCAATTTATCAGAATTTAAACAACACATACACAACTTAATCATTTAGAATAGTTTTGAGTCATTGTTTCATCTACACATGTGGCTCTGCAGGTGATTCAGGGCGCAAATTATCTCTTTAATTTTTTTTCGTTATCAGGTCAGGTCTATCTCATTTTGGGAGAGTTTGATTTCATACAGTATTAAAATTGACATGACATTGATATCACAAATGTTATGCTTGATAAAAACAAACTAATGAAATACAAGCATTGAGGTCCTACATGGTCAGTATAAATGGTATTTTGGTGAGAGTGAAGAAAGAATTCTATTCATGTCTGCTTCAGATCCGAGTCATTCTTGGAACTCCATGTCATATTCAAACCTTGAAAACACCATAATCAATTCACATCCATAGAAAAAACATCCAACAGTGCAAGATTGTTGAATGTAATTCGTGGCTTTTAATATTTGAACTGAATAATTTCATTTCAGTTCAATCCACACTCCTTTGCCTAAAGTTGTAGTAGTCATGTGTTTGTTCTTTTATACATATAATAAAGGAACATAACCTTGAATGTTTTGAGTTGATAGTCAAGAATATATTTCTTTACAGTATTTCAGTGTTCTGTGAGCTTTGTTGAAAGCTTCATTTTGATGCTAATAAATGCTTATTCAAAACCATTATTCAAAAGTGAGAATCCTTTTAATCATAGACATGAGATATCTTTCAAACCTATCAACATCTATGGAGTATTCATGAAAAGAGTGATACAATAAATTACCCTAGTCTTTAATTTTTGTTTTATTTCCAAAACATTACATACATTTATATATGTAACTAGAACAAGTCTGTACATAGTCTTCATGTCATTATATATACTGTCATGTCTAGCTCAACTTTGTGTTTGAAGAGCTTCTGATCGTTTATTGAACAAGGCAATTTATACATATTTTATCAAGTAAGGTATTCAACAAGGAGTCCATATGGATGGTAATAAGCTTCTTCTAAAGAAAAAAAGGCATCTAGTCATGATATTGGCTGGTAGCCTCCTGGGATGTAGCCTGACGAATTTTGAAGAAAAAAAAATTTTAAAAATGACTCTTACCTACTTTCAAGGACATAGGGGTCAATTATTTCAAAACCTTCAAGTAACTTCTAGAATTTCAAAAGCCCTAGAGACATAACAGTTGGCTGGTAGCTTCCTGGAAAGGAACTAAACAAAGTTTGTGAATAAAAATGACCATGACATACTTTCTAAGTTACAAGGGTTAAACAAGGGTCAAAACCTCCTGACAACTTCCTTAGAAATACCGAAAGGCCTAGAGACATGATATTGGATTCATTGAAAAGATCCAAACAAAGTTTGAGAATAAGAATAGCCTTGACCTATTTCCAATGCTATGATAATTAAGGTTCAAAAATGTCACAAACCTGAGTTACCAAAGTCACATGATATTGGATTTGGAGCTTTCTTTGAAGGTGTCAAACAAAGTTTGCAAATCAAAATTACCAGGAATTTAGAGGCAGGACCTGTTGAGGTGAAACCTTTGAAATTCTTCTACCATCAGGATGAGAGGATTTATTCTGCAGCATCCTTGGGCTAATGAAATTTAATTTTGTATATGAGAGAGTGACTCCACTGGAGGCACAAGAGCAGGATATGGAAAAGGAAATTCATGTGGATATAAACCAATATAGCATTTTAAATACCACCAAGTTTTGTTTGAAATTTCATTGAGCAAAGGAAAAAATATTTTGTATCAATGTAAGATGTGACCTCTTGAGGCAAAGGGATGGTGCCCAATCATTGAAACAGAAATGAAACCTTTGTAAGTGTATATACATGTCAGGTACAAAAACACTAGATCTTGGATAAGTACAGTTGTAAATGGCACATTAAACTGTAAGGGGAGCGCTTTGTTTGATTGGTGTATATATTACAACAGTTCAACTCAATTATTTAAACTTTTTACTTATCATTGTGTTTGTATTGAAAGGTGCTTATCACTGGCGTCTTTTGTACAATCTTTGTCCTGTAATAATGTTGGGGACTTGATTATCGAAGGAGACTTACGATAATAGCGTATGTTTGTAGTTCAGTATAAAAAAGTAATATATATGAGTGGGCTTATTACCAGACATGTTTACATTTGGCTTGGCTCAGTTTTACTATATTGATGTATTAATAATTAAGTCTGTATTTATCATTAGAATTATCAATATTATAAGTATCTGTGAGATTTATATAATACATTGACACCATGTACAATCTAAAAACATGGAAATATTTCTGTAACAAATGCAATATTAGTTGTGTTGTATGATAATCTTCACCTGTTTAAGTAAATATCTGACTGAAATAGAAGAGACCTCAGAATACTGATTTATTAAACCACCTGACCTGTAGATCAAATCTTTATTATAATATTAATGCACTCAATTATGTGAATGGAGATGAAAAGTCTATGAACATTTGACAAAAGTATGTTTATACAACAAAGGACGACACAATGTGAACCCTGGACCCTCTATACACAGTACTATACATGTGTTGTCCAATTGATATTTGTACTTGTTGGGAAATATCTGCCACAGATAGAGAAATACAGCTAATATTGAGGCCTGGGTATGTTTAGGAATACATGCACTCCTTTATCTTATATTTGCATAATCAAATCCTGTCAGGTTTGTTATGGGACAGCTGGATGGCTGAGGGTCAAATCTGTATATATGTTTCTTGTAAGACGGACCTGGGTTATTGTATGATATAGGGAATACTATCCATTGTGGAAAAGGGGAATTTTTGGCCATGTTTGACTTTCAGATAGTCCATCTAGCCGGAATTCAAAAGAGGGATAGTGTTGAAATATATGACATAGATCAATATTGCATGAATAAAATATAACAATGCTGAGGTTAGATTGATTTTATTTTTCCATGATTTGCATGATTTGAAAATATCTTCTGCAAAAATATACTAATTAGCTTTGATTGGGGGAAAATCTTCCCTATTTTGGGAAAATTTCTACAAGTTTTCAGTCTGTTTTCTTGGTGGGGAATCTGTTTATATTCAGTAGGGGAAAATACATGTACCACTTGGGGAATACCACCATTCCTTGTGGTAAAATTTGTCTAGATTAATCCCTGACTGGAATCTTCGGAAAGGCTAAAAAGTTGTTGCAGTCATGGTATTCAATTTGTCAAGTGATAATGAGATTTAGGATGGTACCTCTGGCTATGAACAACTAATATTTGAATTTAGTCAATAAGTTTAAATCAAATTGGTGATTTACTGTTTCTAGTAGTTCAAGTATATCTCATCACAAAGGCCTGGATATTATTCTTTTTAAAATAAAATCATTCATTATCGTTCAGAGTGTACTTGCAACAGCGTCCATATTTGTTTGAATTTTAAATAGGTTATACATTAGCATATTTTCCTCAAAACATATACACAATGAATTAATGGGGAAAAAACCAAACAAGTACGAAAAAAATTCTTGAGTTTAGCAATCTTTTATTTAGTATTGTACCAGGTAATTCCGTTTCTAAGCCCTACATATTCAATCTGACCACATTGATAAGATAACACTACATGTATCTATGACTGGCATCCTCTTTCCTTACCACATGTGGGGCATAAAACATTTGTTTAAATCTTTGACAATGCTGGTGGTTTTTTTTTTTTATTTTCCATGCCCAGACGAGATGTTTTATAAGACATACCCCGGTACCTCCTATAGACAGATGTATGTTGAATTGGTTATACTTCTCTGACTCTAACTACTGCAGTGTCCTACAATTATGATCAATAGATCATGATGGCTGGGAAATGACAGGAAGTGACAAGTTACCTGCCGTACTGTTTGATGTTATTGATTTTTCCCAGGGGTCTAAAGTCTTGTCATCTCAGTAAAGTAAACCATCACCTTTTTATTAAGTTATATTTAAAGAAATTTCACTGGAATTTCCACCGTAGTTTTATTGCGTATGGTCAGATCTGAGTCTTTATAAAGATATTATTTTTGAGGATAAAAATGAATAAATTTGATGGACAAATATTGATATTCTTTGTGTTAAAGTTTAATATCATTCCGTGGTACTTAAGATAATGTCTAGATAACTACCAAGCCTCCCCATGGTTCTTTCCAGAATTCCTTCTTACCTTAGCAGGTTGCACTATGATAAGATTTAACAAAGTATTTCTGTAAGTATCCGATATATCAAGCCACTTTTTTATTTATAGAGTTGTTGCCCTTAGTATACAAACTTTAAATCCAGTATTTAATTTTATTGAAATGTAATAAGTTTACATTGGTCACTTGTAATGAAGTTGTACAATAGACATTAACGTTTATCATTATTTTATCATTGTTATATATTGATTCAGTTTTCAGAGTCACTTTCCTTCACTGTCAACCCCTAGTTTATAATCACGGTATTTCAGACATAGTTGTCCGTAAGTCAGTTCCACCACAAACAGCAGTCTGATACTTTTGCATAAAATTTCTTTACAGGTAGAACATAAGAACCTGCTGTTCCTACTCCATGATCGAAAGATTCAACTAAACTTGGAATCTTTCTATCTTTTCTATATAGCCTTGTTCTTCCCCAGGTTTCACTTGAAACTGCCTCACTTTTGTACTTTAGTTGAACATTCACCCTTGTGTGGAAGGCTTTGATTTCTGGCCCAAGCCCTGTCAGTATAATATGACTAGATGGGGAAGGTCTGCTTGGTGCCTTTGTCTGTATATTTCAGTATTGTAGCACTGTTAAATCAGCTTCATTTAACCACTATAAGCGTTTTAATTTTGTGTGAAGATTTCAATCTGTTTTCCACATATCTCTGTGAAACTTGATGTGTTTTAAATTTATCATGAAAGCATATAAAACTGTTTTCCTTTTTTAACATTTTGATACATTATTACAATTTTTATTTTATAAACTTTTCAGTACAACAAATCCTATTTCGTTGGCATTAGAAAGGCCTATATTGTTCTACTCCATGGATGCTTGTTATTTATTGTCAGCAGGAAGGTGTAGAAGGAGATCTTGGTGGGTGAGCTAGAGATAGTACCTGGTTTATACTTCTATTTATTATCAACAGGAAGGTGTTGAAGGAGATCTCAGTGGGCGAGTTACAGCCAGATGAGACAGTGGAGGCTGCTAAGGAGGCACGTGTTCTGTCTAAACTTGTCCACCCAAGCATTGTCAAGTTCCATGATAGCTTTATTGACGGCGATGTCTTCTGTATCATCACTGAATATTGTGAGGTAATAACTCATAATTCAATTTAGTGTGATATTGTGTAACATTACAATTACTGACTTTCTGTTTGTTGTCATTTACATCATCATGACATGTACTAACAATTTGCTGTTAATTTTTTTGAAGTTTAGGAAGTAGTCTTTATATAATACTTGTGGTACTATCTACTATCAGTTATAGGCTACTGTTGGTTTACATCTCTATCAGTGACAGACTTAAAAGTTTCTGACATATTGTTTGTGTTTTAGGGAGGAGACTTGGACATGAAGATCAATGATTTAAAGAAAAGCAAGAAACAATTTGATGAGAAAACTGTGCTAGACTGGTTTGTCCAGCTGGTACTGGCTGTTCATTACATGCATACACGTAGGGTATTACACAGAGACCTCAAAACCAGGTAAATATAGGTCACGGTGACCTCAAAACCATATGAATATAAGTCACAGTGACCTCAAATCCAGGTAAATACAGGTCACAGTGACCTCAAAACTTGGTAAATGTAGGTCACTGATACCCCAAATTCAGTGAAATAAATGTCATACAGGCATAAAAATTGGGTACTGTAGCTTATATAGCCATTAAAATAAAGTAAATCATTATATCAAATAGACCAAAAACTGAGAGCATATAGATGTTAAAGACCATGTAAACATGAACCACACAGATTTGATAAATGATTAAATCTGTGTCCTAGAAACTTGAATAACACAGAAACCAGGAGAGTTCAAAGTCACGGAGGTATAAAAATGACCTTGAAAAGCAGGTAAATATAGGTCACTTTGACCTCCAAAACATGTTGAATATTGGTCACATAGAAAGCACAACCAAATGAATGTAAGGTCACAGTCCCCAAATCCAGGTCACAAATTAGAAATCTTCCAATCAGGTAGATATATGTTGTAGTGCTGCAAAACCAAGTTAATACAATATGTGTATGTAATGTAATTCTATTTATCAGATGTAATGAGGTCACATAGAACACATTGTTGTATATCAGTTACTTTTGATATTTACAGAAACATATTTATTAAAAAGAACATGATAAAAATTGGTGATTTTGGAATATCTCGGATACTGATGGGTACAACAGACCTGGCATCAACATTCACAGGAACTCCTTACTACATGAGCCCTGAGGTTCTAAAACATGAAGGATACAACTCCAAGTCAGATATATGGTAGGTTCTAAGGATTTCTATTCTAATGTACAACACACCTGTCCCGTAACATCTTTGCATGTGCCTATAACCGGTATGTGTACCCTATATTTCCAGGTCTATAATCTGTATGTGTACCCTATATTTCCAGGTCTGTAACCTGTATGTGTACCCTGTATTTCCAGGTCTATAACCCATATGTGTACCCTATATTTCCAGGTCTATAACCTGTATGTGTACCCTATATTTCCAGGTCTATAACCTGTATGTGTACCCTATATTTCCAGGTCTATAACCTGTATGTGTACCCTATATTTCCAGGTCTATAACCTGTATGTGTACCCTATATTTCCAGGTCTTTAACCCGTATGTGTACCCTATATTTCCAGGTCTGTAACCTGTATGTGTACCCTATATTTCCAGGTCTATAACCCGTATGTGTACCCTATATCTCCAGGTCTATAACCTGTATGTGTACCCTATATTTCCAGGTCTATAACCTGTATGTGTACCTTATATTTCCAGGTCTTTAACCTGTATGTGTACCCTATATTTCCAGGTCTATAACCTGTATGTGTACCTTATATTTCCAGGTCTTTAACCTGTATGTGTACCCTATGTATCCTGGTCTACAACCTGTATGTGTACCCTATATTTCCAGGTCTTTAACCTGTATGTGTACCCTATGTATCCTGGTCTACAACCTGTATGTGTACCCTATATTTCCATGTCTATAACCTGTATGTGTACCCTGTGTATCCTGGTCTACAACCTCTATGTGTGCCCTATATTTCCAGGTCTTTAACCTGTATGTGTACCCTATATTTCCAGGTCTTTAACCCGTATGTGTACCCTATATTTCCAGGTCTATAATCTGTATGTGTACCCCATATTTCCAGGTCTTTAATCTGTATTTGTACCCTATGTATCCTGGTCTACAACCTGTATGTGTACCCTATATTTCCAGGTCTATAACCTGTATGTGTACCCTATATTTCCAGGTCTATAATCTGTATGTGTACCCTATATTTCCAGGTCTTTAACCTGTATGTGTACCCTATGTATCCTGGTCTACAACCTGTATGTGTACCCTATGTATCCTGGTCTATAACCTGTATGTGTACCCTATATTTCCGGGTCTATAACCTGTATGTGTACCCTATATCTCCAGGTCTATAACCTGTATGTGTACCCTATATCTCCAGGTCTATAACTTGTTTGTGTACCCTATATCTCCAGGTCTATAACCTGTATGTGTACCCTATATTTCCAGGTCTATAACCTGTATGTGTACCCTATATTTCCTGGTTTATAACCTGTATGTGTATCATATCTTTCCTGGTCTATAACTGTACGTGTATTGTATAATTCCAGGTCAATTGGCTGTATACTGTATGAGATGTGTACTCTGAGCCATGCCTTTGATGGCACCAGTTTGATGGGAGTGATGTATAAAATTGTGGAGGGAGATCTCCCTAAACTGCCTGACAAGTATTCAAAGGAATTGAATAGGATTATGCTATCGTAAGTTTAAAAATATTTATTTTATGTTAAGGAATATGTATTTCTTTAATTTCAAACTAAAGATATGTATTTACTGTATGTTAAGAAATATGTATTTGTGTTGTAATCATTGGGTTTTTACTTTTTTTATAGAATGTTAAGTAAAGACCCAGTGAAACGACCCTCAGGAACTGATTTATTGAAGGAACCACTTATAGCCAACCACATAGCTGTGAGTAGAGATTATCTCCCCTTATAGTAAACCACATAGCCTTGTGTACAGGTTGTCTCCTCTTATAGCCAACCACATTGCTGCGTGTATAGATTATCTCCTCTTAAAGCCAACCACATGGCTTTGTGTACAGGTTGTCTCCCTCATAGCCAACCACATGGCTGTGAGTATAGATTATCTCCCCTTAAAGCCAACTACATAGCTTTGTGTACAGGTTGTCTCCCCTTATAGCCAACCACATAGCTATATGAATTATCTCCCCTTATTGTCAACCACCTATCTGTGAGTACAGATTGTCCCCTCCTCTGTAAGCAACCACTTAGGTGTGTCCTCTTTAGATTTTCTCTCTTTTAAGTTTTGAGAACACATTATCTCCTTTTTAGAATAATGGTATTTGCGAGTACAATTATTCTTCCTTATAACTAACTACATTGATGTTGATAAAAATTTGATTTTCTTTATACCCAGAAGTATAATTGTTATAACAATTTGGTTCCCTTTTATTACTTACCAAAGAGGTAAGTACAAATCACAACAAGTTAAGATTATCTGCACTGTAGCCAACCACACATAGCTGTATATATACAGGTTGTATAGTAAAAAGAATTTTTACAGTGATCATAAATTATTTCTACAGAAAATGTCTAAGGATTATCAAGCTCGTCATCAAGAAAACGCTGTAACAGAGGCTGAAGAAATCGCACGGTTATTGTAAGTCTGAGTGATTTGTATTGTCACATTAAGATTAATATCTCCTCTTTTTGTTTCTGAGGAGAAATCGTGGCTATTAAGGATGAAATACATTTTGCTGTGAGGTATGTTATTTATATATATTGTTATAAACAAAATTGTAATTTCATCTATATCCGCTCTTTTTTGTGTACTAAATGAAAAACTTTTCAATCTTTGACGTTGCCCTATAGACGTGAGAAATCGCACCTGAGTGACCTGCGTTTAACAGAAGAGGAGGTCAAGTACAAGAACCTGCCACCAAGAGAGAGAATGAGGATGAGAAAAATGGCTCAAGCAGATGAGGAAGCCCATCGACTCAAGTATGTTCCTCTCTTGATAGTCAGTTGTATCCTGTTCAATATGGATCCTTCACCTTGACTGAAAAAAACCCATTTGAAGTATTGAAACCATGAAATACATGCATGTTTCTAATACATTGCACTGATATATAGCCACTTATCACAAATTTTAAACATTGAAATTTCAAAACAGCTGAAAAAAGGATTCCTTTTCATCAGAAGACGATAATGCAAAGTTAAACATTTTCGTTATCAGAGATCTTGTCAATAGATATTCCTCAAACAAAGACTTGTTTTTTGGTTATCAAAAAAGTATCATGGTGTAACAATGTGAATGATACCTATGAGTTGTAACTAAAAGCGGTTCAGTTAGATGACAAGGACAGATGTTTCTCATGGTGGATTTGATTTTCTTGTAATGTACAGCAACGGGAAAGCATTTTTCCTTATACTGTCATACACTTTTCCTTAAATTTACTTCTTCAATAAAACAGAAGACACCCAGTGTCTGTATGCTCCTCAGCATTTCATATATATGTAGTAGTATCTCCCCAGAAGTGGAGATATATGTTGTAGTATCTCCCCAGAAGTGGAGATTTATGTTGTAGTATCTCCCCAGAAGTGGAGGTTAATGTTGTAGTATCTCCCCAGAAGTGGAGATTTATGTTGTAGTATCTCCCCAGAAGTAGAGTTTATGTTGTAGTATCTCCCCAGAAGTGGAGATTAATGTTGTAGTATCTCCCCAGAAGTGGAGATTTATGTTGTAGTATCTCCCCAGAAGTGGAGATTTATGTTGTAGTATCTCCCCAGAAGTGGAGGTTAATGTTGTACTATCTCCTCAGATGTGGAGATATATGTTGTAGTATGTCCTCAGACGTGGAGCTTGATGTTTAAGTATGATGACTAAAGTGATTTCAATGTTTGTTGACAGGGAAGTGGCTAAAGTACAGCTGATTGCAAATCAGGAGAGAAAGTCAAAGATTAAAAGTCACTTGAATAAAACAACAGTAAGTCCAATATTAGACTATTTCCTGCATTAAAAGTCCAGCCTTGTGTCAAGTTTGAAGACTTTTCACCCATAATTGAAAGGCTCTGTTTAGGAGTAGCGTGTTTGTAGTTGTGGAAGGTGCTAACACAGATTCATTAGGATTACAAAACTGAATAAGTACTTAGGAACTTTCTGTATATATAAGAAGAAACATGTATCCTGGCTTGTTGCGATTGCTACTTAATTCTTAGTATTTCTAGGGAAATTGTGATTTTGTACATTAATGTGCATATCTTAATGTAAAAAAAATTAAACATGTAAATTAATTGTTTTACATGAAGACAGATCATTGCTCTTGTAACTTAACATTACATATATGACTTAAATTTCTTGCCTGTTTGTGTAATTTAGAGAAAATTTGTTTCTCTTGTGATCTTTGGTCTCCTTTGAATTGTCAATGAAGTGTTAGCATACTTTTGCTAGGTACCAGCATGGCAAGGCGGAGCAGGAGAGGGAGAAATATTTAAAAGACCAGCCCGTAGGAATTCTTCTACTTCTTCTGAACCAGAAAGCCCTCCTGCTATAACTGTCACTCCAGCTCATTTCAAGACAGCTCCAGGTAGGGGCAGATAACCCTGAACTCTCGTCCTGACCTCGACACATCGTCCTTTGTTAATTCTTTGTGTGGTAGCTGAAATGAAGTTCTCCTGTATTCCTTTTCATATGCACTTACAACTAGTGTGTTATAGCTTGACTCAGAAGAGTCCTCCAATATCTTTTTCATGTAATCATTCCATGTTATTTATTCCAGATTAATGAAAAATAACGTACGAAAATCAAATGTCGAAGAAAATGAACAAAAACTTATGAAAATGTCAAGGAAAATGTGGTTTTTGTCCTCCAGATGTTTTCATATGTTGAGGAAAAACTTATTTTGTCAAATTATGTTTAACACATGAAAAAATATATAATAAAAATTATATTGAGCTGTGAGCTGATAAAAAAATTGTTTTCTGAAGACACAACAAAAACTTCTTACTGTGGTAAAAAAATTCAATTTGAACATTTGATATGAAGTTTATTGACAGTGTATAGTGTAGACGGTGCACATCATGTCACATGCTACTAACAGTTTGATGCTATGATAGAGTACACATCCAGTTCACAAACTTATCATATTTACATGTTTCCTTAGTCTGAACTCAATTCATTACTGATCATTTATCTTTGCATCACTGTTATGAAATTTGATTAGTATTAGTATTACTTGTACCTAGAAGTCTTTTTCATCAAAAATAAAAGTTTACTGAAGTGTGTTCCTAGATGCCAGTTATAAAAAAAGAAAAATTAAGTATACCTGATCACAAAAAACCGAGAAGTCAAATAGCAATGTGACCATATTTCTTCCCTATTCGTGGTGTTGCAGTACCTAGATATCTAGCAGACGATGATGAAGATGAAAGGGAAACATTAAAATTCAGAGCATCCAAAACAGTAGACCAAGCTCATTTATCGTCGGCCATCTTGTCTCCAGACGAGAGACCTATCACACCGTTACGAGATAAAATGGTTTATGACGTGAAACACTCCTCTTTAGACTTCAGAGATGGTAAGAATCCTTGGTTTAGAAAATCTAGTATAATTCTGGAATGTGATCGTAGGGTTTTTAAGATGATTTGAGTTGACAATTTATTGAGTTATTCCTTACTAACTCATTCAGTGATAATACATATCTGTATATATGTTTCTAGTGTTTAATATATAAAATGTGACTGAAACACGTTTTAACTCAAAAATCAAATAAACTTATTTCTATAGAAATGACAAATTAGAATATACAATTAAAACAGGACAGGATTTACCTGTATTTTTTGGTATAAATCGTCAAAATGATGTGATATTAAGCATTGTTCACATGAAAGTAAGTGACATTATCATATGTTGGATTACATAGGCTATATAGAGAAAAATTGGTATTTTCAAGACAACATGATATTAACTGGAAAGTGACATTAACAGATGTGGCATGAAGTTGGTTCCACTGTATAATAATTCTCTTGTTTTGTTTTTGTCTACAGAAAACATTTGTAAGAATAATTTATTAAAAATTCTATTATAGAACTTAACAGAAAATCATTTATTAATATATTATATATCATTTTAAAATCATTATTGTAGAAGTTAGAGTACAGTAAACAAAAGATTTTGCATGCAATTTGTAAACCTTTATTAGTGTAATTCTTATATAGGGTTTAGAAAATGAAGATTCAAAATCGAAGTTAAATGACTATGTGATCATGCAAAAAACACATGGATTATTTGCAGTGGAAACTTAGAGTTGAACTGGTACATATTGAATCACTTTGTGCTCGCGATCAATTGTACTTGTTATAGCTGGGCCATCATTTCATTCTCCATATTGATTACACTTCTCCTGTATTTTGCTTCAATAAACTAACATCACTGCCACAAATAATGCATCAGAATGCTTTGTGTTAATTCTATATCTTATAGGAAACAATGCTGAGAATTTTTCTCAGTGTTTTAGTCTTGTTTAAAAGTTTGTCCCATTTTTACACTTGATAAATGTTCTGTAGCGAGATGTTCAGCTTGAATTTGCCGAATGTTGTCTGTGTTATGTTTTTATGTTTATGTTTTGTGTCCAGATTGTTAATCTAGAAATGGATATTGCTTAATATTGGACATTTAACTAATACATCTTCACATTTACATTAAATTACGTTGTCTAGTTACTAGTTGCTTAATTAAAGTCAAGGTGTCTACTTGATGTATATTAAAAACATGATTATTATACTGACTTCTGACCACCCCACAGGTATACCAGAGAGTCCAGAACTGGCTGATACTTATTACAGCCAGTACGATGACTTCGCTCAGAATTCCGACTCTAACTCTGAAGATGAAAACCAATTAACCGTGGTTGAAAAAAATGAAAGCACGCTCAAGGCCAAAAATTCTACTGTCAAATCAAAAGGAAGCGATACTGTGATTGGTCACTCTAATGACGAGGACTCGTTTTTCAACTGTCTGCAGGATGTGTTAGAACAGGGTGATGATGCTGGTAAGTATCCTTGGTAATATGTCTTTGATAATGTATGTCACCATGACAACAGTGGAGGATTAAGTTAACCTGTGTAATAAGTGCTGATTAGTTCATATTTATAATTCAGGAACATTTTGAAGCATTAATCTTAACTTGGTTTTAATCTTAGCTGATAGATTTGAAAAAATTGAAAAAATTATTTCATATTATGATTTCAGAGTCTACAATGACCTTAGCAGATGACATAGAGGCTGGGGCGTTCGGCCCTGTAGCCAGGGGACAGAAGATTAAAAACTTACGATTGTATCCTTTTATGGTTACTACTGTATATTAGAAAGATATTAACTACATTAATATACATGAATTACTTTTTAGTGAAATTTAGTCCAAAGTTTACAGCTAATTCAATTTATCAATACAAAAGTAAATTTACTGGTTCCATGTCATCCTGAAAATGTTACTAAAACATTTTACCTTCATATGACTTGGCATCAAAAATTGTGAACCAAGAGGCAATTATACCCAATTAAAAATGAAATAAAACTTTAATTTTTCCCTTGAGAAGAATTATCATCATTTTGATGACTGGAAAGAATATGTTTAGTTGATTCCTTAACAACTTCCACAGAGAATGTGAGAAGATGCTTGGAAAAGATGCATTTGACAAAGCCTACAATTATCTGAAGGAGGCACGTTACAATGACAAATCTGCTGAAGAAGACATTATGGCAGGATTGCGTCATTTTGTGAAAAATCCCAGTGATTGTTTCCTTGTTGATCAACTTTTATTTTTAGAAGAACAAGCCAATTTAGCAGCCAAAGCATCCTGAATCCAAACCATGTGCCAGAACATTATATAACAGAGTGAAGGAGTTATCACCCCTTAATGTAATTGTATCCTGCAATTTCATCCTTTTTAAAGGATGTTCTGATCTGACTGGATTCGTCGTTTTTGAATCTCTTGAAAGTTAGTGGTATTGAGATATTAAAAAAGTAATCTAGAGGATGATCTGGACTGTAGAGGTATTGGAAACTTTTTATCTCAAAGTAACAATGGATTAAGAATGATTGTTGATTTGTGTGCAACTCAAAACAAATCAGCAGTGGTTATTAATTGCTTTTACTATCGTCACTATAGTATGAATTTTCAAGGTCACAAGGTCAAAATTTGCATGGCAACCGTTTAATGCACTCGTTATAAAGGGCATTGTACTTTGAGAGGCACCAACAATGAAATGTCTTGGTTTTAGATAAATGAGTTGTTTGAAAGTAAAGGTTTTTTTATTTAAATTAATGAGTAGGTTGGTATTGATAAGTGCGAGTGATAGATGGATATGAAAGACAAAAAAAAAATCAATATATGTATGTATATTTCTGCTTTGTGGTTTAATAAATGTCTGATATAGAGATATGGAGCTTGATAAATAATGGATGTGGTCTGATTATTTGGTATTCTGCTGAAAATTTTTTGATGAATGAAAACATAGTATATAAATTTGTATTGTGCTTCTAGTACAGGGTCTTTCCAATGTGTGAAGTCGTAAACTTCAGAATGATTTTGATGCAATAAATTCACAATCATACATGTGTTTTAAAGGGTATGACATTCCTGCTTATTTGTAAAGCATTTTATTGAAGTTGATTGTGAATAAGATTTTTTTTATATACTTTAAAGTACTGAAGTACTAGATTCTGTAAATGCTTTGTTTTGTCCAGTATGTATGAACAGTGGAACCTTGTTGGACAAGACACTTTCTGAAATTATAGATATTGAGAATCAGGGGAAGAAAACATGAAAGATACTGGCGAGTTTTGTAGTTCCCATTAATTTGAATCTTGTTTTGTATATCAGTGTTTTTGTAGGATTAAGTTGTTGTGTTAAGGAAATGTTTATTTTTGTATTAGGTGTATGTAACACCTTTGTATGTCTGTTGTATGTCTGTTTTGAGGTATATACAACCTTGTATCAGTAGACACTATCAATCTGAGTGTTTTAAAGGTATCATTAAACAACTTGCTGGAAGTTTGATATCTAATAAGTGCTTTCTGCTGTTTGTCAATCTTTACACAATTTTTGTCTAAGCATATCCTGCATTTTGCAATCTACAGTCTTGAGATCAACAAGAAAGTATTGAAATAATTTTATGCAGTAGACCAATATTTATAAATAAAAACATTTGTTAATGAACATTATTCATGTTTGGATGTAAGTTTATACAAGATTGTTCTACTGTTGTTTATCCTGCTAATGATAAGTTAGATTTCATATAAATATAAGTTAATATTTCTAACCTCACTTTGGTTGTAAAATAAATCAAAATATTACTTAATAGTGTCATATTTCAAATTCCATGTGTATTCATAGACAATCCTGGAGGAGGCTTTATCGATATGATTTCAATGACTGGAATATATTGTTTTAAAAAATGTGTTTACCTGTAAATACATATGCATTACTTGACAACGAGCACCACGTGTCTTTAATATGAGGAAAGTTTCGCAAAATATTTCTCGCTGTCGTGTTGGGCTCACTCCTTTTTACTCATTACCTGGATATTCAGTGAGACCTCATGTATTCTGTTGGATCCACAGCTAGTTCGTCGGTATTTCCACGGAAATTTTCTCTGAGGGACGTTGTGCCTCTAACCCCCATAGTGATTGTATCGCCATTAAAAAGTTAATTGAAAAATGACCCTCTCCATGTATAACATGATTAATATAGCCACTGAGAAAAAAACATTATTTGAAAATCCTGTAAATTTACTGCTGTTAATGATAAATTTTTGAGTGGTTGAACTTCTTCTTTTATTAAAGTTCCAAGTAAAAGGGATGTATATGTACAGGAGTGATGAAACGGATAAAAATAAATAAATATAATAAAATAAATTCTCCCATAAATAAACTTTGTATTACATGATATTGAAGGTGGCATTCACTGTACTATAAATCCCTCCATGTCGAATGTGTTCATTGTGTTTCCTTTGAGTCGGCTTATTCTAATGTTCACCTGTATGTTGAACTTTGATCCAGTGTTTTGTAAAGGAGCAAGATTTCTGTGTTGATTATGATAAATGTCTTTCATGTTGGTACAATCTTCCATGTGATTTAGTGATTAACTTTAGAGAAGTTTTAGGAAACATTCTGTGTTTTGGTTCCCAAATCGCATCCCACATTTCTTCTTAATACTAATACTAGTTTTTAAGTAACGTCCTTGATGAGCAATCATGATACAATTGATATTACCAGTGATGTACAAATCATGTATTTCTGCCGTTGGATTTGTATATAAGGTTTTATTTTACCAGATAACCAAATCATATTCATATTTCCTGCTTTTATGGATAATTAAGGCAGGAAAATCCTTTTGAATTTGATTCTTTGTTAAAGTACAGTAATTGTACAGAAAAATTGAACAGAAATTTATCTGCGATTTATAACAAAATTTTACTTTTAAAATGCTGTAAATTTACATATTTTAGCTGTGATCTTATTTTAGCACTTTTCCTTCTGGCGATATTGTGCTTGAAGATGATTGTGCTAATAGCAGTTTTCTAGATGTTAATGTGTGAAATCATAATTGTGCTTAATTGTTCAGTATTGACATTGTGCTAAAATATGATTGCACCAAAATATGTATATTTATATGTTATATACGTTATTAATATCGGATAAACACCAGTGTTTTTTCAGACATCTTGGATGAATTCATAAATTCTTGTCTTTATTTCTTTGATGTCATTTGTAGGCCCCCATGGTTCATAGTTTTGAATCATATGATTGAAAGTTGTCAATTTTTTTATTTGCACTAAATATTTTTCAAATATTTCCCTAAATGCAAGAATCACAAAATGTGAACTTAAACATGTACAACTTGATAACACTGTATTTAACTATGTACCTACCACCGTCCCAGTTCCTGATTCAACTGAGAAATCTTGTAACAAAGACATATTTGTGTGTGAAGTCAAATGATTAAGGATTTAAATTGGTTAAGAAATAAATTCATCAGAATAATGTGAACAAAATTGATGTTGAGTACTTGGAATATGAAAGATCAAGAAAGTGATGAAGTTTGTTTGACCTCCAAGAAGGTTATCTGTGTATGAAGAAATGATTTTTTCTGTTTACAGTGTATTATAAATACAATGTATGAAGTGGAAATTGTATATAATAAATATATAAATACTAAACACTTATACATTCTTTGTTATGTAGACGTTTAAACTCTCTTGCCCAGGAAAAGTGAGCTTATGTCGTGGTACAGCATTTGTCAGCGACCAAGTTTGTTCAATTGATTGATCTTGACCCACTTTTTAAATACCTTAAGTACACATGGGTCACATTAAAACCTTTAACCAATTTCTTCTCAATATGAGAAAGGTCCAGTGTGCATATATTGGGTTTGTATCATGCTAGGATAAAGGGCTTCCAAATTTGTTCAATTGATTGACCTTGACTCACTTTCAAAAGTCATAGGGGTCAAATATATCAAAATCTTCACATGAAAGGCCAAGGGTATGATATTGGGCCTGGAGTATGCTTGGATAACTAGTAGGAATTTGTTTAAATAATTTACCTTGTCCCATTTTTAAGGTCACGTGTTTCAAATGTGGTATATCTTTGAACAACTTCATTTGAATAAGCAAAAGTCCCAGGATGTTGGTAGTTTCTGTAGCATGATGGGATGAAGGGCTATCAAATTCGTTGACCCACTTTTGAAGTCACAGGAGTCATACATGTTAACAGCTTCGAAATTTCTTTTTTTTCAACAAGCATTATGTCTTAAGCCATGGTATTTGTGTAGTAGTTTACTGGAGTAATAGACTATAAGGTTTACAGAAATCAACAAAATCTTTAGTGGAAGCTGAAGAACAGATGAACAATTCAGCCTCTTGTTTGTTCTTGTTTCTTAGCCTCAAAACCAGAAAACAGAATTTAGGGCACAATGGGAAGATTTATTGTACATCATGGTGAGGATGAGATTTTGCATGCCAATTAAAAAATCAATAGTTTAGTGTTAGTTCTGATGATGAATGTGTAATTGTTCTCTGGAAGTTAAAATGAAGAAAACATTTCAGATGGCTTTGATCCTATTGCTTGGCCATATACACATATATAACAATAATGTTATTTTACCACTCTATCTTAACAGAGGATTGTTCTATTTTAATCATACCATATTTTTGCCATTGAAGAGCAGGAACTAAGAATATACAAGGACATGGTCATCGAGGTCCCCCGCCCATGTTCATTGTAAAATATCTACATTTAAAGTGAGCAACATGGAAAACTGGAAAAGGTATCAGCCAATCAGGTCACAGCAGTCTCATTAAATATGCATAGAATTTGTCTATAATCAAACTTGAACAAGTTGTTAAGGTAACAAGTCTACCAAGTAAGTCTCCTTATAATTCATTTGTTCCTTCAAACGATAACGTACGAAAAGTATTCAGTTAGAATGCCGAAAGATATCAGCCAATTAGGTCACAGCAGCCTCATTAAATATGCGCAGAATTTGCCGATAATCAAACTTGGGTAAGGGATTAAGGTAACAAGTGTACCAACCAGATTTACTCAAAATCCTACAAGTCTTTCAAAATATATGCGGAAAGCAGCATTCGGCCGGACGGAAGGACAGACGAAACCTATTTGAATATCCCCGCCACTTTGTTGACGAATAATAACATATCTCTTTCTTGATTAAAGTATGCAGGATCTATATTTGTCATGAAAACTTATAGTGAAAATAGACGCATGCAAAAAAGAAAAAAATATGATATCAAAATGGTGTTCACATAAATACAAACTGTATTCAGGCTCGGAATACCAAATGTACAATATACGTATCAGGTTTGAAATATATGTTAGCTGTATTATGATTATATGTTTTTCATCATTCTCTTGTTTTGTATGTCCGCTTACAGTAACCGACCGTTTTTATATTTGTGTATTCATAAAGCAA